TTAGAACCAACTATAAACTTGAATGCATTGGGAATAATAAATAATATAGGAATATATTTTTATGCGTGACAAAATAGAAGTTAATATTTTTAATTTTAAATAACTAGAAGAAATAATAAGGAAAATTATCAAAGTGTATTGTTATAATCTGGCCCATGCAATGGGTCCACCTCTTCTTATCCTTGAATTTGCATAATTATGATATAAATAATTTTAACATTTCATCCATTATGGAGGGGAGTGTAATAATAAATAAATAAATATTTTATTAATTAACTAAATTTAATTTTTTTAACATGTCTTGAAAACCGTTCTCTAAAAAGCGTAAGTAACGGTCACCGGACAACGTATCCTCGAAAATGTATGGTCAAGAAAAGTTGAACCAATAATCCTACACGCTTTTCTTCATTTAAAAAATTCATATTTACAATTTTTGTTTATTTTAATTTACAAAGTTTGGATGTGACAGTTTGACATTTCTGTGAGCAACGACGATTGAACTTGTTTCCATGACCAACTAAGTGAAATTGTTTGATTGGTGAATTGTGGTTATAACTCAGTAATTTTTGAAAAAAAAAACATGTTATAGCTTATATCGCTGAGAAACTTAAAAAAAATTCATTGCGAACTATGGCTTCCATTTACAAAAATATATGTTTGTGTCATATGTCAAAAATGACAGGCTTTAGAAAAAAACCGAGAACACAACCCCATTGAGGATGTGTTTGTCTACAACTTTTAATTGAAAATTTTTTGTCTAAAGTAGATTATAATGGAATTAGGGATAATAATTTTTAAAATAGCCGAAAATTTTGTTTTTGCCAAGCCATGGACTTTTCCAAAAATCTGAAAGGCGCATAATTTAACCCCACAAAACTGCAATTCTTTCCTCATTTAACCGACTCTCTATCTTCAGTAGTTTCCGAGATACCCATAGAGAACATTGTAGAAAACTCCTGTATATCGAGAAACTATGGCTATGCTCGTTGAATTTGACACTTAATGTTAGTTTAATAATATATTTTCGTACTATAACGTATTCTAGAGATAAAAATAAGTAAAATTGTTCGTATAAACTTATGTCCTAAAGTGCTTCGTTTTGGAGATACAGGGTGTAGAAGTTTCATTTTTATTTCGATTTTTTCCAAATAATTTCTGAAGTAATGTCAATATTTGGATGAAAATTGGTGTCTGCGAGTTTTTTGACATAACAATTTTGATTTTGATGTCAATATGACTCCTACTTGTAGAGGGCGCCATCTACCTATTTTTTAACTGGTTTGAAGAGTAATAACTTTTCGTACGTACCTGTATAAAACTACTGAGTAAAAAATTATATATTTACGATGTTTTTACGTAAAAAAGGTCTTTTGGTAAAAATCGCTTCGAGTGATGGTTCTCGAGATATTTGGAATCGAAATTATCAATACCTGTCATCATTGACATAAATTAATCATGTTGACTAAATAGTTATTACACTGAAAACATAAATTTGAAATGTTTTTGTGTCAAAAATTCAACAGAAACTGTTTTTTCATCATTTTTTTGAAGAAAAATTTATGATTAATTAAAAAAAATTAAAAATTCACAAATTTATCATTTTAGTCAAATAACTATCATACTCAACATGTATATTTTCTGTCAGTAATGACATGTATTGATTACTTCCATTCTACACATCTTGAGAACGGTTGCTCGTAGCGATTTTTACCAAGAGACATTTTTTACGTCGAAAATGTATATTTTTTCACTTAGTAGTTTTATACAGGTACGGACGAAAAATTATTACTTATCAAAACAGTTAAAACACATGTAGGTGGTGCCCCCTACAAATAGGAGTCATATTGACATCAAAATCAAATTTATCATACAAAAAAACTCCAAGACACAAATTTTCATCCAAACATTAACGTTACTTCAGAAATTATTTGGAAAAAATCGAAATAAAAATGAAAATGCTACACCCTGTATCTCCGAAACTAAGCATTTGCGGACATACATCTTTCGAACTTTTTTACTTACATTTATCTGCAGAATATGCTGCGCCCTGTATAATTACTTAGAAGGTATTACATTTAAATCTTTTTATATTATTTGGAACGTTTAAAATTGTTTAAAAAATGATTTGTAACATTTGAAAGAAAAATAGCATGTTCCATTGGGAGAGTAAAAATGTCTTTTAATGTTTCGCTTGTAATGTCAAAAGTATCATTTTTACTCCTCATAAAACAATATACTACTTACACCTTTTGTTTTGACGCTATGGTATGTTATTTATAACATTCCACACTGAATTTTAAATAATCTTCTAACAAGACCTGAAATTGAATATGTATCACTGAATTTTTATCACACAGTATACAGATTAACAAGGCCGAATCTAATTCTAAATATCATCTTTCGCATCATCCTTAACACAGTAACACACAATAAAAAAAAACAAATTGCCAAATCTTTAAGATCATAACATAAAATAAACATATCTTATTGAAAAAATAATTGTAAGAATTATTTTAACCTTCAAAAAAATGTCCCATTTCACAACGAACCGTATTTTTTTGGGTCTGTCATGATCACGGTCAAAGTTAACGAGTCGTTTCTTAATTTCTCTTAATTAATGCAGTTGGTACAGGCCTCACCTGGCCATATTTTACCTTTTAACTGCACGACACTGGCTTGCGTAAGACTATGTTAAAAAGGTAGGTTTATATTCTTTTATCGAAAAATTCCGATAAATAATCAAACGAGTTTTAATTAAATTCTAGTTAGAGTTTGTGAAATAAGACCTTAAAAAATTAATATTAGCTAAATGCAGTACAGAGTGTCCCATTTTCGTGTGTTTTATAGGATTTAAAAAAATTGTTGTGATTTATTTAAAAAAACACATTGAACCGTATTTGAAAAATGACAGTTCTCAGTGAAAAACTAGTTACGCCACTGGATTCTATGTAAAAAACTCTACAGTTTTCAGCTTTTCGATAAGTTATAAGATAACCAAGATACGGAAGGGGTTAAAAAATGCAACTTTTTCAAGTTCGTCCTGTTTTTCAGAAAGCAAGTGGGCTAGGATAAAATCTGTGTAGTATTTTTAGTTTCATAAACGAGAAACCCTATTAAACACACGAAAATGGAACACCCTGTACGTGGTCTCTGATGTAATTAACCCTTAAGTATCAACCAATCAAAATACCCTAAACTGTTTTTAAGCCTTATAGTGTATATGACACAAGATCTGAAACATATTTTAGTGTGTATCTTTAATATAAAGATTAAGAAATATTTTGTTCACATATTATCTATGAATTAGAAGCCTTAAAAGTAAGAGAAATATCATCTAGAAAAGATATAATATAATCTCTCCAAGGAAAACAAATATGAGAATGACAGTTCTGTTATTTTACTTATTACTTCAATCTGTGTAAATAATTTGTAAAGTCTCTCTTTAGTAAACTCTTTTATGTGAGCCATTTGCCTGCCATGATTGGTCTTTTATTTTCTTCAAGATATTGCTGGACTATAAATATCAGTAATTTTAGTCCAATATATTCAAAATCATTTTAGACTACGACTAACTTTCAATAGAGCAGAATTGATGAAACAATTTGACGTTGATTGATTTTTACATCTATTCTGGTCCTTTTCTGATCTCTAGGTTACATTCTCCACACTACTTGTACACTGAACCCTTCATATAACGCTTTTTCAATGGTCTATCATTGCCTAGAACTAAGAACCGTACATTTGCCATGTTGTACTGACAAAACGTGTTCTATCGTTTTTTCTTCAGATTGAAAAAAGCTGCATATTTTTAGATTCCTATTAAACTTACAAACCCTGCTTACAAACAAGCTTATACTGCCCTGTTAGTAGACCCACTACAACTTTGACAGTCTCTCTGTTTGAAAGTCTCTGCCCTGGCTAATTTCTCCACAATTTTAGAGATTTGTTGGCTACCCATTATTTTGAGGCCATTCTTGTGTTTGTTCTTGCAGCGTAGCAGAAGGATTCTGAGCCTGTGAGTGGCATTTTTGAGACCTTGAGTTTTCTGTCTTCTTTGGTTTAGAGGATACTAGCTAAAATGATTACAGCACTTAGGTTTCACTGGTCCAAAAATTGGTTCATTGCTTCAAAACCCTGAAATATATCCAGCTAATGCTGTTCAAAATTATAAATTCCTGAAGAGTATTATTTAAAAATATAATACAAAATAAAATGTTTTGTCCAAATGTTATTCATTTATTAGATAGTTCACGAACTACAAAAATCATTGTGTCACCCCCAAAGTATTGAACCACTTATCACCACTGACGCCATTGAAGTTGACTAAAGGAATATTAGTTTGGTTTGGTTTGCATCTTGGTATTTAGATCAACTCCATTCCAGTATTTTTTATTTTTATATCTTCACTTTGTATATTAGTAATGTTAGTAATCATTACTTTGCTCTAAAAAATGTTATTTTTATATCAACTAGTAAACATGCAAATATTTATTTCGTGTATAACGCTTGTTTTTCTCTCAGACTGTCAGTTTTTTATAACTCTATCATCTGCACATTAAAGATGACTCTGTTTATGATCGTTTAATATACCTCCTGAATCTCAGTTTTTTCAGTTTTTTAAAGATGTATTCTGATACTGTTATAAATAGTTTTAGAAATATTACATCTCACGGCCTTACGTCTCTGTCGATATTGATAGGATGTTTTTAACTTGTCAAGTTACCACATACAGAAGAATAATAAAACGAAAGGCACTTATTTGAAACATAACTATAAAAGTGATAAAAGTGTTTTATTTTTTTTGGTAAATTTGGGATTATCATTGTGGTCGATTTCAATCAAAAATATCAAAAAAAATAATGTACGTGTTATGAAACACCCTGTAGATTTTCAAGGGCACTACTGTGTCCGAATCGCCGAAGATAAACTGCGTACAAGGTTAATATTACCTCATTGAGAAATGGGTTTCAAGATTTAAATTTCGTATTAACAGTCGTTCGCGCGTCTCGCGCTAAAGCAAAAGATGATACTGAGGACATTTTTCGGGTTTTGCTTGATTTTGGTCACGTTCGGGGTTTGTCAAGCACAATTTTTCAATTTTTTGAACGGTTTTGGACGGTCTTTTAGTGGCAGTGAAAATGTTATTAACGACAGCGATGAGTTTTTGGATGAGTACGATTTTGTTGTTATTGGTGCAGGTATGTATAATGTTATTTATTTTATCTAAATGTATTACATCATTAAAATGGATAAAGACAAGCACAAAAATACTTGATTTAAAAAAAAAATATGCAATCCAGCTGCATAATTTAATATTTCCAAGAAATAATAGTTAAACGACTTTTAGTTACATTACAATTTTTGTTGTTACACGATTGCCTCCTACGTTTGGTAGTAAATATAATTAGTTACATTTTACAGATTTGTATCAGTTTATCAGAAAAGCTTAACTATTTTTTGTATAATCATTATATTGTTTGGAGAGATTACTAATTTCAAAGAACATGACTATTCGACAAAGCCAACGATGTCATTGGACTCTAAGAATATTAACATCTAGAATTCTAAGAATATTAACTTCTACTGAAAAAATTGTTGTCCTCTTCTAATTTCCGTTATAACTAAGTTACATTCTCCAGTCGTATCTTTTTCAAATAGGCCAATAACTTGGACACTGAACCTTCCATAATATATGTCTTAGCAGTATTAGCTGAAAGCAAAATAAAACACTAAATCACCACAATACATCAAAACACTTTTACTTTTACACTGGGCGCGCCTTTCGCTAACCATGTTAGTATCATCAGCAGATGATTATAAAGTTCATGGAGCTTAAGTAACATCAATTTATAAAAAATTGTATGAATATCGAAACAATTTTAATTAACATCTGCAAATGTCATTTTTGACAATGTCAAGAGTGTAAAAATCTATTGACACCTAGGATTGATACACATCAACTGTGTGATCTGCATGCCAAATCACACAGTTCGGATCATGTTCGGATCTTAAGATAAATAAAGCCTTGGCAGCAAAAAGGAGACGTGCCAGGAAGTACTAAAATATTTTTAGATTTATATTTAAATTAGATTATAAAATATTTTGAATTAACGGGCTGTTTATAAAACCCTGTATAGAGAATATTTATTTAGAAATAACACATATTTATTATTCCATTTCCAGGATCCGGTGGATCTGTGGTTGCGAACCGCCTCTCAGAAAATCCTGATTGGTCTGTTCTCATCCTGGAAGCCGGCAAAGATGAAATCTTCCTGACAGATATCCCTTTAATAGCTTCTCTGTTATCCATAACGGGTTACAACTGGGGATACAAAAGCAAAAAACTGAAAACAGCGTGTCTTGGACTTATTGATGGAAGGTGTAATATTGCCAGAGGAAAAGGCTTGGGTGGTACAAGCATCATTAATTTTTTGCTGTATACCAGGGGCAATAAAAAGGATTTTGATGATTGGGAAAGCATGGGAAATAAAGGTAATTATAACAGTTATTATTATTAAATGTTTATCGTGTGATGCATGGGAAATCGGAACACGGGACAATTTTAACGCAAAGTACCTACGGCAAAGGTACAACTTTAACGCCTCTCCAAAAAAGTCTAATACAACTTTTGCATAAAATCATTTGGGGATATATTTGATCTTTTCAAAATTTACATGGGATCAGTGGCGGATACAGAGGGGGGCCCATAGGGCCCGGGCCTCCCCTAAAATGTATGAATTTGGTTAAAAATTAGGCTTTTGGGTTTAAAATGGCTCCCTGAATAGCATATTCTACATTACTTTTTATTTGGCCCCCCCCCTAAAATAAATTCCTGTATCCGCCACTGCATGGGATTTCCTATGTTCCGTGTTCCGATGCACCACGACACTCTTCAGATGATGGTTTATTGTTATTTTTATTACAATATTCAGAAAAGACACATTTAATTGGTCTATTTCGGTAATTTTTCCATAGCCCAGTTAAACATTTGGTTTAAATATAGACATTTTAAAATTTTATTTAAATCTATCCCTGATTATCCTACCTACTTTGATTGTTTATAAAAACTGTCAAAAAGTCATAAGAGCTCCAAATTTAGTTTCAGTTTTTCTTTACACTAAAATCATTATAAGTTATATCCTTGTTTATATACGGATTTTATATATAAGTAGTTCATGCCAAGCTCCTACATTAGTACCATAGATAAAAGAATAATAAATAATCTACTTTTAAGATAGATATGAAACTTAATAGTAAAATTTTGGGTCAAAGCGCCCCTCCGTGTTTTTAGTGGAGACTACGTTTAACCCAGCGCCTTCGCCTTTTCTGCTGTAAATGTTTTTTATGTTTATATTTAAATTCAAACGATTTATTTTTAAAGTTACACTAATATATTAGTATATCAGAGTAACTTTAATAAAACATAAGAATATATATATTTTACAATTTATTTTTTTATTTATTTTACAGAGTTTCATGTAAATGATCGTAAGTCGACTTGCTGTCTAATGAATAGACTGAGATTTATAGATTTTAAAGCGAACGAAAAAAAAAATCAAACAACGAATACATACCATATATTTTTCTTTTATCTAAGATACATACCTTATCGTCTTTTGGAAACACGTACATTTTTGCACTTTTGTTAGTTTCTTTGCAAGATGCAACACAACAAGAAAACACCATTTTTACAGTTAATAAATAATAAAACTATTTCTGACTATGATATTTAAAATTTAGATAGATAGAAAATTAAAAAACAAACCAGTATTTGCAAACGCAGGCTCAAATTCAATAAAAATCAAAATTTTTCCTGCGAAAATCAGACTTTTTTCGCTAAGAAGGTATTTTTTGATTTATCAGCAGTCGTTGTCAAGTTGACAATATACAGGGTGTTTCCGAATTAGTCTAAAAAAAATTATGGTGTGATTCCTCATGTGTTCTTAAAACAATTTTTATATAACCATTAGTTCTAAAGTACTTCCTTTCTGATCTACAGGATGTTAAAATTTAAAAAAATCGATTTTTTTTTTGCTTAACATAAATGGTACACCACTGCTTTTTTAAAGAAAATATATTTTTTTCTTGACTGGCCATTCTTTTTCAAGAAAATTGATCTTTTGAGTTTTTCTTGTTCATCAAACGGTTGTCGAGAAAAAAATAAATATTCTTATTAAGAGCCCGCCTTAATTCGTTTTCTAACGATTTTTATTTTTTAGATTAATTAGGAAACACCCTGTATATGCATATCACAGGCAACCAAATAAACTAATAACCTCTAAAAATAATTTTTCCTACCACTAGCGACATACCATGTTTTTAGTGCGTACTAAATTATATTATCAAAATTTCACCATATAAGTTTCCAGGCAATGATTAGTACTTAGAACAGTGATGACAAACCTATGTTATGCGTGTCAATAATGAGAGACGTGCATGTACAAGTTCTACTAGTAAAACAAGCATCTAAATGTAAATCATTGGTTTCATAATTTTGGTTTTTGTATTTTAAATGGCCTTAAATAAATAATTAAGTTACAAAAATTACAAATTTCAATTTTTTTTAGTTTTTATTTTTGTGAAATGTGACACGCTACGAGAATTATGTTTCGATTTTTCAAAATTTTGACACAACGAGCTCAAAAGGTTTGCCATCACTGATTTATAGAACTTTTATTCAATATACAGATGGAACTCATTTATGTATTTGTAATTTTACGTTACAATTATTTTAACTATTGAATAATTTTAAGATTTTTTAAGAGCTTTAAGCTAAAGAAGAAAAAAAAGAAAAATTATAGCGTGCATATTTTGGAAGTTACTTTATTGTATTATTTAGAATTTGTCCATTCTCTTTATGATGTTCTTGGATAATACAACCACTAGAAAGTGGAATTTGAAGTGGTACTTGCCTTTTAAGGAAAGATCATAGTGTACTCTCGTAAACTATGAACTTCTCTGAATGTATTATGAAACATAAATTTAACAATTTTTAAATGAAAAACCTATTCTATACATTGCCTAATCAGTTTTATGCTTTGTTATTTACTATGTCTGAATTAAGTTATATTAAAACTTAAAACATCAGTCATTCAGTAAGTCTAGCAATGTATGTTTAAAATATTTACCATCCATGGGTAGAAATAACCATAAATATTGGTATTCTAATCTCATATGCTTGGAAATGACGATCGATGACATTTACCATGACTTTAACCATGAATATTTAACACCACTGTATTTGGGAGACTTGAAATTTGGAGAATCATATTTAGTTATAAAATTGTTTTTTTAAGTATTTTTAGTGCATTATTGAGTTAAAAATATATTTCTATTAATGTTTCTTTTATTAAATCAAGACGAAAATATAAGTTATTGTCGTAGTACTTTTTAAGGATGGAGTTACGAAGAAGTCTTACCCTACTTCATTAAATCAGAAAACTGCTCGTCATGCGAGGATATAGCTGGAGAGTTTCATGGAAAATCTGGATACTTAAATATAGAACATCCAGGATATCAAAGTCCTTTTGTCAAACTGTTTATCGAAACTGGAATGGACATGGGATATCCTAACAATGATCCAAATGGCAGAAATGGTCTTGGTATGTATTTATATAAACATAGATACGGTTTTAAGTAGTGATGCCTATCACTTTTTTTGTTTCAGGACTATTTGTACTTTTTTTGCAAATTCAATGCATTTAAAATTACTTTTTTTAATCTAAGAAAAGTAATAATCTTTTTTTAATCTAGAATTTTTAGAATTTTAGAATGAGTGGGAGGGGGGTTAATCACTTCGACCTTACAGATCCATTGTGTCCCCCTTTCTTGAATCATAACTCATCATACAGTCCCAGGGCTTTGACAAAAGCCAGTATCTGGGACGGTTTTATAGAGGATAGTTCTCCATCTCCAATATCAGTCGTACCAAAATTCATGGCACGAATGGTTGTCGTCTCGGCGCACTCAGTGATGAGGTGTACTGGTGTTTCACCATCTTCCCCACAGAATCTGCATTCGCCGTTTCTTCTTAGTTTCAATCTACTGAGGTGTTCATTGAGGAGACAGTGTCCTTTTTTGCAAATTCAATGCATTTAAAATTACTTTTTTTAATCTAAGAAAAGTAATAATCTTTTTTTAATCTAAAAAAAGAATCTTCTTCTTCAGATGCCTATCCATTCACTGGATGTTAGCGACCACATGTTGAAACCTGTCTCTATCTCTTGCGGTGTTTATGAGCTCTCCTATAGTCTTCAGACCGGTCCACTGTCTGATGTTTCTCGCCCATGACAGCTGTTTTCTACCTATTCCCCTCTTGCCTTCTATTTTTCCTTCAAGTATGAGCTGCGGAATGTTGTATTTTTCATTTCGAACTATGTGTCCTAAGTAGGAGGTCTTCCGTTTTTTAATTATATTTAATAGTTCTTTCTCCTTCTGCATCATATTGAGTACTTCTTCATTAGTTATCCTATCGGTCAACGATATTTTCAAGAGACGCCTGTATGTCCACATCTCAAAGGCTTCTAATTTATTTATAGTATTAGTTTTCATGGTCCACGCTTCCACCCCATAGAGCAGGACGGACCATACGTAGTTGCATATCGTAGACGCAGCTGCAGTTGGATGTCTCTGCAGTTTAGTACGTTTTTGAACTTAAGAAATGCTGCGCGCGCTTTTTTTATTCTGGTTCTAATTTCTCGTTCAGGATTCCAGTCCGCATGCAGCCAACAGCCAAGATACTGATATTTTTCCACCCGTTCTATAAGCTGATTTCCTATGCTGAGGGTTGAGTTCGCATACCTTAGTTTGTCACGGCTAATGATCATGAATTTGGTTTTATTAGCGTTGATGTTTAATCCATATCTGTTGCTAGCTATATTTAGGCGGGTACACATGTCTTGTAACTCATTCATATTGTTTGCTAGCAACACGGAGTCATCTGCGTATCTTAGGTTTGATATTGGGATTCCATTAACCTTTATTCCCTGCTCCGAGTCCTCAAAAGCCTCACTGAAGATCTCCTCCGAGTACATATTGAATAAAAGTGGAGAGAGTACACAACCTTGTCTTACTCCCCTACGTATATGGATATCGTCAGTTCTGAAGCTTTGTGTCTTTACATGTGCTCATTGATACCAATATAAAATTTCGATGCATCTATTATTTCAATTTTTCTCTGTATTGTCTGAAGTTTGAGTTTCAAATTCATGACCACTGGAACATGGTCTGATGGTATATCTGCTCCAGGGTAAGTTGCAACTCTTGTCACAAACGAATGATATCTTGCATTTATCAAAATAAAATCAATCTGATTGAAATCAATCAACATTTTCCGTTCCGTCCTGTGGTGATCTCCATGTGTACAGTCTTCTTGGATGCAGGCAGAACCATGTATTAGTTATCCTAAAGTTTTCTTCTTGGCAAAACTGAATCAAGAAAAGAATAATAATATCTAATTATTGAATATTGTCAATTAATATTTTCTTCAGCATCTCCATTTTTTTCTAATAAATAATTTCATTAAAGGCTTTTCAAGAGTCCAAGCTACAATGAAAAAAGGTCTCCGATGCAGTGCCTCTAAAGCCTTCTTAAAACCAGTAGCGCACAGATCAAACCTCAAAATATCTCCTCAAAGCCGAGTAACGAAAATCTTGATCGACCACCAAACTAAACAAGCTTATGGCGTGGAGTTCATCAAAAACAAACAAAAATACACAGTGAGAGCCAGAAAAGAAGTTATTCTAAGCGCTGGCACGATAAACAGTGCTCAGTTATTAATGTTGTCTGGAGTTGGACCAAGGAGTCATCTGGAGGGTTTAGGAATGGAAGTTATTTCCGATTTACCTGTAGGATATAACTATCAAGATCATATGGCGATGTCAACTATAGCATTCTTAGTAAACGAGAGTGTTACAGGTAAAGCGGGGTTTAAACTGTGTCACTTTTGATGTACAGGGTGTCGCATTTTAGTTGAAATCATACGGTATCTCCGTTATTCGTGAAGATAGAAGGGTGCGGTTTGCACCAACCCGTCCCACTTTTTTGTCAAATGGAAGATGCTGTAAACAAAATTTTCGTAGCCCTCTTCATTTCTGAGCTACAGAGTCTTTTTTAAAATTTTGCAATTATGGACCCCGTATCTCGGTTATTATGAAAGGTATCTCGGTTATTATGAAAGGTATCGAGAAGGTGGACACTGTTTATTGTAGAACTCTTATCTTTACTAATAATGGAGATACTATATGATTTCAACCAAAATGGGACACCCTGTAGATTCTAAAAGAATAATTAAGAGTGAAACAATCAACCAAATATAAATAAATACAGAGTGATATATCTTTTTAAGAAGCTTACGATGTAAGTAAGCCAGATCATATGATATAAAAAAAACTAACTTTAGTTCATATCTTCAAAATACTCTTTTCGTAGAATAACAAACTACGTCACTGTGTTCTACGCAAAATTATACCGTTGGTTGAAGTTCTACAATAAACTGTTTTCACCTTCTCGATACCTTTCACAATAATAAAATTGTCTGTTTGAAAATAAAATTTCAAATAGACCCTGTAGCTCATAAACGAAGAGGCCTATGAAAAATGTGTTTACGGCATCTTCCGTTTAACAAAAACTGGGCCAGGTTTGTGCAAACCGCAAACTTCTAGCTTCACTATAATAACGGAGATACCGTATGATTTCAACCAAAACGGGACACCCTGTACACTTTCGATCAAACAAAAATCAGAGACAATCTACATTTATCACTTTGGATGATTCCTTCAGAATGATCAAAAAAATTTAAGTTTAGTTATAAAGAAAACAATCTAGATTGACAAAAGATCTGTAATTTAGTTTCAGATTTAACTGTCCAGAATCCAATAGATATTTATAATTTTATTGCCAGAGGAAAAGGTCCATACACTATACCGGGTGGTGCAGAAGCTTTGGCTTTTGTGAAAACGAAGTATGCTTCCAAGTCTAATGATGATTATCCAGATATGGAGTTGGTTTTAGGAGCTGGTGGACTTAATGGCGATGTTATTGGTGGTTTTAGAGCTTTATTAGGTATTATTATAATTCTATTAAAATTTGTTATTTCTGTGTTCTATACTGTTTGCTCTCACAGAAATAATCAAAGCAAAGATACCATTTTTTGATTATAAACTGGATGTCCCAAATTCGAGCCACGTCATTGGCATCTCAGAAACAAGTTGCACAATTTGATGCTGATCAAATTATGGCATACATTATTGGTCTTGGGAGCTTAAAAGTTCGTATTTCTTGGTCGTATTAAAAAAAAGTTGATGATGGCAGTTCAAAGACAAATCGTCAGTTTGAAAACCTGATAACACCATCTTTTAGAGCAAAAAAAGTATCAATGACAATGTGCAATCTATTTTGCTTTATATGTATTTAAAAATAAAATAAAAATGAACTCTTGGAAAAATCTTCGAAAGTATTCCGAATTTTTAAACTTTTAAAGTTGTATTTCAATTTAGCATCAAATTGCACAACTTTACCTTCGTTTACTGGCTTCGTATCTCTTGTAGTCTCCGAGATACGAGGCATGTTTTTTAAGTAAGTACCGTTTTGGAATTAAAAAAAAAACGTGCAAAGATATCGCAATAATTTTATTTTTACATGAAAGCCTGTACCTTAATCTACTTTTCTACATAATTTCCGTGAATATTGAGGCACTTGTCATAACGTGGCACCAGTTTTTCAACACCCTCCTCATAAAATTCTGCCGCCTGACTGGTTAACCACTGTATCACAACTGTTTTGACTTCGTTATCGTCTTGAAGACGCTGACCGCCCAGGTGTTTCTTCAAGTGCAGGAATAAATGGTAGTAACTGGGCGCCAGATCAGGGCTGTATGGAGGATGATCTAGAGTTTTCCATTTAAAAGATTTGATGAGATCTTTGGTCCGATTAGCCACATGTGGATGGGCATTGTCATGCAGCAAAACAATACCCTTACTCAACTTGCCAAGTCTTTTGTTTTGGATTGCACGGCGCAGATTGTTCAATGTCTCACAATGAGATGCTGCATTGATTGTCTCATTACGAGGCAGAAACTCCACTAGCAATACTCCTTTTCTGTCCCAAAAAACTGTGCACATGATCTTCCGGGCAGAAATTGTTTGCTTAAACTTCACTGTTTTGGGTGATGATGAATGTCGTCATTCCATGGACTGTTGTTTCGATTCTGGTGTGACGTAGGCCACCCATGTTTCATCACCAGTAACAATTTTGTCTAAAAAATCTTCACCTTCATTGTGGTACTGCTCAAGGAAAGTCAATGCACTCCCTAAACGTTGGGTTTTGTGCAAATCCGTCAACATTTTCGGAACCCAACGTGAACACAATTTCCGGTAATTCAAGTTCTCGGTCACAATGCGATACAAAACACTACGAGAACATTGAGGAAAGTAGTCGCACAATGATGAAATTGTAAAGCGTCTGTTTTCTTTCACTTTTTCGTCCACTTTCTGCACCAAATCTTCATTAACGACCGAAGGACTCCGTTCTTCATCATGCACATTTGTGCGGCCATCTTTAAATGCTCTCACCCATTTCCTTACCATTCCATCACTCATAATGTTTTGTCCGTAAACTTCACAGATCTCACGATGAATATCGATCGGTTTTACGCCTTTAGCACTAAGAAATCGTATGACAGCCCGTACTTCACAATCGGCGGGGCTCACGATTGTCGGAGGCATCTTAAACACTCAATAAACAACGTATACAATGAAGAATCAGACTGTACTGGCGTCTGTGCATAGACAAGAGATGTAGGTAACTAGCGCGCATGCGCGGAACGCCGACCGTAGCGCTGAGGCGGCGGAATCGCAAAACGGTACTTACTTAAAAAACATGCCTCGTACCATTGATGAGGTTCGAATTTGGTCACCCTTTACATATAAGACTTGATGGATTATTACAGTAATTTTTGAAAATATTTCTGTGAATTACCGCAAATAATGCAAATTTAATAAAAATATTTTGTATTTAATTTTAATAACATCTATATAAATTTATTTAGGTATACCTCAAAAATTCTTCGACTCAGTCTATGCCCCACTGATCGGCAGACCGTCTTTCAGCATTGCCCCCGTATTGCTGAGACCAAAAAGCAGAGGCCGAGTGTCTTTAAAAGACTCAAACCCTCTCCATTGGCCTGTTATCGAGCCAAATTATTTCTCCGAAGAGGAAGACTTGGCAACGATGGTTGAAGGAATTAAAATGGTAAATATTTGGTGAATTTATTTTCGTTGAAATTAATTTTGCCAAAATAAAAATGTCATGACCTATGCAATTATACCAAAGATTTAGGGCCAATCTGGCATGGAACCAAATCAGTTTGCTGTTGACGCTTGTACAGGGTGACCCAAATTCTTAGGTGACTAAAAGGGTCTCCTTGAAGGTCAAATTATGCCAAAGTTTTGCAAGTTAAAATTATCCGAATAATTCTGAAGATATTTACGTCCATTTATGAATGTTTGCTGTGTATGTTTGAAAAGATATTTTAAAATAAATGTCACTGCATCATCACAATACAGTTAAATACCAGATCTGATGTTTCATTTCTGAGATACCATCATTAACTTTACATTTTTAAATATAGATCTGGATTTTTTACCCAAAAAATATTGATTGTATTTTACACACCTAATACCTAATCAAAGTATATTCATTTCTGTCCAACATATTGGGACATCCTGTAAAGCCATTCAACATCAAAAGCCTTACGATATCTTTCCTGGGCCTTACTATATGCGACAGTATGACACACTTTCTTTGGATGAAGTTTTCTAGCTGATATTTGACTATTGCAATGATATCTTTGGTGATAGCTCATTGAAGGCTTAGTAAATATCTTAGGATTTACCTCTGAGTAAGTTTCCTCAATGGTAGTCTTAGTTATGAGCTCGAGTTTTGGCGCGATGGTACTTGGAAAGAGTTTAGTGAGTTCCATGAGTACATCCACGTTATTTCCTGCTAAATCTGACTTTCTGAATGAACTAGGATAAAGTAATTCGTCTAAGGAAGTTTGTAAATTGGTAAGAACCAAATCTTTATCACAATTTTTCTAGTGAATCATCTCAACGACGATTTTTTGTCGTTAGAGGCTTCTTGGTATTAGGTGAGATCATTAGGTGAGATAGATCTTCTTAATTTCGAAAAAGTTTTGAAAAAGGTGAATTTATGGTCACATTCTTAAAACTAAACAAAATATTGCATAAAATTAAACTCGGGTTTTATTGTAATATATTTTATTCACACTATTGATTTACATGATTTGCCCTAAATATGATGATAAACTCATGTTTTATAGTGAAATATTTATTTTTGATTAAAATAATTTGTTCTGAAGATGACATACAATAATATTATGTACTAATAATTACCATTAAGTTTAGTTTGTTAAAATAAAGTCAAAAGTGTATATAGTGTGGTATATAGGGTGTCCCAGGCTGAGCGTGCATTAGAAGTTTCTAGAGAACTACAATATCTAGATCGGAGATTTTTTGCACATCACTGTTTCACAACGGGATCTATCGATTAAAAATATTTTCAATATGGCGGCACTTCCGGAAATACCGAAAGTTGACAGCAACTTTCTTATTTTAAATGGGTGTCCCCATTTTTTATTACATACTTAAATTCTTTGTAAAATGTTATGAATTTTGATTTTAAACACTCTATAACTAACATTAACCGTTTTTGAGAAAAAAAAATATTTAAAATTTTTGGACAAAAAAACTGCCTGTCAAAAATATGTGAATAGTCTAAAGGTCAAATTTAGTGATTACCACAGCCACTGTGTTACAAATGTGACTCCCAATTTCAAAAATTAAATTGTTCGAATGTCATATAATAATGGCCGCATTTGTCATGGAATTGAGCGATTAAAAAATTATCATAAATCATTTTTTTCAAATGGCCCCCCTTGAATGGCTGTGAAAAGGCTTTTCAATTCGTTACTTTTTGACTATACATGTTCCTATACCTAAAATAAGTCGTTTTTAAGTTATTCAAAACTTAGTTTTAAAGCGTATATTTTTCTTGATTTTAACTAGTAGCCTGTGACTTTAGACGTCAAGTGATGTAAAACAATAGATCTGGCCATGTCATATTATGACACTTTGTTCAAAAAGCAGTATGTTATCGATCATTTCCAAGGCAATTTTGCGCTGTTTTCTTTTCGATCATACGGTATATTATTAATAATTAATAAACGTTCAACTATTAGATATCACTAAAGAGCGAAAATGCAGTAGGTACAGTACAGGCAGTATTTATAATATAGGACATTCAATTAAATCGTTTTCTGACAGATAAAAATAAATTATTGTCTGACTGATGTCACACTTAATGTCAAAGAAAGCTAGATAATATAAAAAAAAAATATACGTTTTCAAACTAAAACTTAAATAACTTAAAAACGATTTATTTTAGGTATAGGAACATTATAGTTAAAAAATAACGAATTGGAAAACCTTTTCATTAGTAAAATATAAAAAGTGGGTTTGGTTTGGTTTCCATTTGAAAAAAAATGATTTATGATAATTTTTTAATCGCTTAATCTCATGACAGCTACCGCCATTATTATATGACATTTGAAGAATTTAATTTTTGAAATAGATAGTTCATAGACATAGATAAATGCAACAAGTTTAGATTGGAAAGCCCGTAAAAATTTTGGGTCGCGAAATTATTTTGGGTCGCGACCGTTATACGCGATCTGGCGCTGCTATAGCGGTCGCTAAGAACAACGGCAAACAAAAACAGAAATAATTTTCTCTTGTCAAAGTAAGAATCTTCAAAAATCATAATAATCTTTCAAAATCTAAACCGCTCTCATTAAAGAAATTCCGAAAAGTGTTTATAGCGTCCATTTTCAAAGTAATAATTGCTATCTTGTGAGTTTAATTCAAGTTTTATTTACTCCAACCGGTGATAATTGTGAAAAAGTGGCATTAAAAACTTAAAAAGCTGTGCTGTGAACTGTGAACTGCAAAAACCATCGTCGATCGTGGCATAACATCGGTTTCCAATGTTTCATAGGTATTTCATACATGCGTCCTTATATAAAATAAAGTTTCTTGTATGCAACACACTGTCTTTTATTTATAAAATTAAACGAAAATAATAATAAAATTGAATAAACAATATTTGGCGATATAATTCCGGAAAAAGCCGAACCGCTCCGAAATTTTCAAAAGTTTTGGGTCGCGACCGTTGCAAGAATAGCGCCAATATGGTTCATAGATAAATATTGGAAAGTGCCCATAAGGACAATGTAAACACTATTTGGCGCTATTCTTGCAACGGTCGCGACCCAAAACTTTTGAAAATTTCGGAGCGGTTCGGCTTTTTCCGGAATTATATCGCCAAATATTGTTTATTCAATTTTATTATTATTTTCGTTTAATTTTATAAATAAAAGACAGTGTGTTGCATACAAGAAACTTTATTTTATATAAGGACGCATGTACGAAATACCTATGAAACATTGGAAACCGATGTTATGCCACGATCGACGATGGTTTTTGCAGTTCACAGTTCACAGCACAGCTTTTTAAGTTTTTAATGCCACTTTTTCACAATTATCACCGGTTGGAGTAAATAAAACTTGAATTAAACTCACAAGATAGCAATTATTACTTTGAAAATGGACGCTATAAACACTTTTCGGAATTTCTTTAATGAGAGCGGTTTAGATTTTGAAAGATTATTATGATTTTTGAAGATTCTGACTTTGACAAGAGAAAATTATTTCTGTTTTTGTTTGCCGTTGTTCTTAGCGACCGCTATAGCAGCGCCAGATCGCGTATAACGGTCGCGACCCAAAATAATTTCGCGACCTAAAATTTTTACGGGCTTTCCAATTTAAACTTGTTGCATTTATCTATGAGATAGTTGCATGCAGGGGCGGGAAAGTGAAATAGCAAACGCGGTTCCACCGTTTCCACGGAAATTTCAAATAAAATAGTTCCAGCCTCAGGCGCTAGGTGGTAGTGCAATTAATTTTTAGATTAAGAAGTTGCTACTAGTTATTGCCAGATGGCGTTAAATCAGAATTTTTTGTAGTTTCTATAGTTTCCAACGGCCATTGTCATACTATTGTCAAATTCTCAAAAAATATTGTCGTTGTCATAGCGCCAATCATAATTTTATCAAATGATATGCAAATGATTATCAAAACGTTTTTCAAACTATAATTTGTTATATGTGTTTTAATTAGACAATTCCTTTTGTTTGTGGCCCTAAAAATATAATGTAAGTCTTTTATTTTTGCCATCATTTAAGTACCTATTTATATTTACTCCATTTACAAAACTTTGGGCGTATTACGTTGGTCTTGTTTTATTATAATAAAGGATTTTTAAATGTTTGACTTATAAATAAAAACTTTAATTAATAAATAATATTTACACATGTTTGGCCTTAATTTTATTTAATAATTGTATAAATTATACTGTTAAATCTTATTTTTTACACATCACAACGATACTTGTTATTAGTATTGTTGAATTTGTGTAAAAAATATGATTTAATAATCAAATTTAATTATTTTAGAGTAAAATTCAATAAATACGCTCATTTAAAAATCCCGCGCTTCGATCCATTTAAAACAAGCCTTACTCAATAGATGGCACCACTTCTGTAGGACCATTTTTCAGTATGGCAGAGTATTCTTTTTCTAGCTAGGTATATTCTTTGGTTGCATGTTTTCTCTTTATATCACAGTAGCTAGTGATCAGTAAATTTGAATTTTAGGCTATACAAATTTTTTTGACAGGTAACTTTTTTTGTCCAAAAATTTTAAATATTTTTTTCTCAAAAACGGTTCAAGTTAGATATACAGTGTTTAACATCAATATTCATAGAATTTTATAGAGAATTTAAGTATGTAATAAAAAATGGGGGCACCTATTTAAAATAAAAAAGTTGCTGTTAACTTTCGGTATTTCCGGAAGTGCTGCCATATTGAAAATATCTCGGAAAATATTGTTAATCGATAGATCTCGTGGTAAAACAATAATGTGCAAAAAATCTCCGATCTAGATATTGTGGTTCGTGGTTCTCTAGAAACTTCTAATGCACGCTCAGCCTGGGACACCCTGTATAAGAAGTTCAACAATAACAAGTTAATAAAATATATGTATATTCTAAAAAACAATATACCTTATAACGATCTATTTAAACATTTATTTATAATTTTATGGCATTATATTTTTAGTAATGTTTATTATATTTTTAAATATGAACATTTATTTAATATATTATGAACTAAAATTTTTATCTAACTATTCCTTCGATAAAAAAGAAGATTTTTTTGACATAAATTTATTTCTGTGAAACTTCTATTTTTAGTTTTAGAGTTTTAGTGTCAATAAATTAAAAACTAAATATTTTCGGTTATTTATGAAATTCTTATGCACCTAATTTAAATCAGAAATATTATTATGGTTCTTGATGCGAAAGGTGTATCTGTATATTAAATATATTTTCTGTATATTACATACATTTGCATAACTTTGTATATTACAACACTGTATAATATGATGAATATGTATAAAGTCAAAAATAACTGTTAGTTAATATTCGTGTTACTAGGTTGTGCTTCAATAAACTTTAACAAACCTTTTTTCTAATATTATTCTAATCGCTCACCTCGCAATCTCTTAAACAATTTTCTAAAGAACTAGCACCGTTTTGAACAGTATTTCTAATCTTATTTTGTAACTTCCTAGCCAGTTTGGCTGTCTTCTTTTTCGGCAAACAAAAACACACCTTTTTTTCAGATGCGTTATCCGATTCATAGCACTGGTAGTTCCTCGAGCTGTATTCTCTACAGTGCGGACACAAATTATCATCTTCTTGAGTACTTTCTGAAACCATATCCTTTTGGAGATTATTTTTTTCAAAAAACGTACATTCGTATTTTTCACAAATAGTACATAAACATGACTCGTACTGTGAATCACATGGATAAGTTTGTGAAGATCTTCGAATTTTGTTTGGCTGAACAGTTTTAACAAAACTGGTTTTAGTGCTAGGTTCTTGAGACATAGGCACTGACTTGTTACAGTAACAAGTATCTCCATTTTCCGAACACTGGTACATACAAACATTCTCTTTCTTCTTTCTCAAGCTTTTTAAGTCTCTATTTGTCATAATCATGTCATCTTTAATCACCTTATTCGGGTTTGTTCGAAGAATTAAATCATCTTCTGGTCTTCTGTACATAAAAATAGGTCTCTTATCTTTGTTAGTTTTAGGACATCTTTGCAGAGCCTTGCTGTAGCCCACAGTATGACACACTTTCTTCGGATGAAGTTTCCTAGCTGATATTTGACCATTGCAATGATATTTTTGGTGATGACCCATCGTAGGTTTAGGAAATATCTTAGGATTAACCTCTGAGTAAGTTTCTTCAATGGTAGTCTTGGTTTTGAGTTGGAGTTTTGGCGCGATGGTCCCTGGAAAGAGTTTAGTCGGTTCCATGAGTACATCCACGTTATTTCCCGTTAATTCTGTCTTTCTGAATGAACTGGGATAAAGCAATTCATCTAAGGAAGTCTTGTAATTGGCAAGGACCACACCTTCATCACAATTTTTCCACTGAATCATCTCGACGAGGAATTTTTCTCGGTAGAGGCTTCGTTGTAACTCACCTAATCTTCTTTCTTTCAGAAATGTTTTGTAAAAGATGAATTTTTCGTCGAATAACATGGGGAATATTGGTTTATAAGCTTCTGTCTGGATGTTAGAGTCCAGCATCCCTAGTTGCAAGGAGATTTTTCCATTGGAACACAGCCAAACTCCGGGACAAGAGAGTTTATGTATGGTTAGTTCGGCTTTAACCAGAAAACTTTTGGTCGGCATGATTTTTTTTGAAGTTTTCGTTCAATTTCGACTCACATTCTGATAATTTTGGTGTAAAATAAAGGTCGTGTTTAAAAATACTGCCAGTAAGATCGATAGGTATATAGGTTAAGCGACATTATGTCAGTGTGTACCTTGACAACGGCTTGGTAACGAGTTTCATCAATACCAACAACCTATTTCTGTTGAAAGATGAATAATATTTCGATGGATTCAAAGATTTAAAGAATTCGCGCTTTAGTAAATGTCATAGTAATGCGGCTGATGAGAATTTCACTTGCGAAATGCAAGGTTGTCAAGAGGTTGGATCAGTTATAGGTCAAGAATTTCTTTAAAACTGGAAATGATGGCCTCCATGCATTTTTAGTCGTTATTGCTTAAAGCAGTTTAATAATTAGAATAAATAATTATTAGAGGTATACAGGGTGCTATCAATTTGACGTACGAGCATCGGTATCTCGGAAACCGTAATTGATACAAGGATGGTTAAATTGGGGCAAAGTTCCGCCTTCACCAAGATGCCTTCAAAAAAGTTTTAAAACTTTCAAGGGTTGCTAGTTTTTTGAAAAAAAAGACGGATTTTTTTGAAAATCAATTTTATTTTTTCCTGTCGTAACTTTTTAGAAAATCAAAAAACTAATTGCACTTGCTCATAGCCACTTTATTAGGGCTATCTGAGAGTATTTTTGGATTTCCAAATTTGCTAATAGTTTGTGAGATACAAAGGCCAACTTAATTTATTTTTAAATACGTACCTGCATTTTTTATTGCAGGTTTTGAAAGAACTCGGTCTTTCGAGTAAAATGATATGCCATAGTTTATATTTTTTGTTTCTTTTGGGTACCCTAACAACGACAAATCTATTTAATTATTATTTAAAATAATTTCAAATCCGACTCTGGTCTTTTAAAATTATTTAACCTGATTATATTCATCGCAACAATATTGATCAGCGCTAATTAACATTGAATTAGTAAAATCGAGCCAATTAAAAGATTCAAATAAATAATATCCAGGTCAGCAATTTAAAGATATTATATTTCATTTTTTTTATTGTGAGTTTGAAATCTCAGTGTACGATCTAATAATATGCATTATATTAATCATAGTTATTATAAATAAATCAACTTCTACAAACTAGTTTCTATTGCTCTACAGGTTCGAAAGGGTTACCACCTTCTCTATTGAACAAATTTATTTTTCGTTCAATTTTATTATTTATAGCTCTTTGAACAGATATATAGAACTTATACTTCCGAATGCATTTGGTACTCTTTATTGTAAATGTTGAGATCAAGTAATGCCCCCAAAATAATTAAAATTAAATAAATTGTGTTCGAACGTCCGAAACAAAAAAGTATTGTGTGGCATATCTTGTACTTAGGAGACCGAGTTCTTTCAAAACCTGAAATAAAAATTGCAGGTCCGTATTTAAAAAAATTAAGTTGGCCTCTGTATCTCACAAATTATCAGCTAATTTAAAAATACTATCAGATAGCCCTAATAAAGTAGCTATGAGAATGTGCAATTCGTTTCTTGATTTTCCAAAAAGTAACGATAGGAAAAAATAAAATTTATTTTCAAAAAATCCGTTTTTTCCAAAAAACTTAGCAATCCTTGAAATTTTAAAAAAAATTTGATGGAGTCTTGGTGAACATCCCAAAGCGCAACTTTGCCCCAATTTAACCATGTTCGTATCTATTACGGTTACTGAGATACCAATGCTCGTATCTCGAATTAGTAGCACCCTGTATACCAAAACAAACTTTTTTAAAACGAAATTTTCTATTAAATGCAGTGTACAGGGTGTCCCATTCTCGAGTGTTTTATGAGATTTCTCGTTTATGAGTAGAGATCTTCTTTGTTCATGAAATAGTGGACGAATTTTAAAGTGTTGCATTTTACTACCCCCTTTGTATTTTAATTATCAAACAACATTTTTATCAAATAAACATTTTCAAATTCGCCCTGTATTTCAAAAACTAAGAGGGCTAGGTCAAATCTGTTTGTAGCATCTTTAGTTTGATAAAAAATATAACAGTGATGCGAAAAGCGCATTGTTGTATCTCAATTCATAAATGAAACCCCTGTTAAACACACCGAAAATGTAATCTCATTAAAAACATGTACAGAATGTAAAAAATACCAAGTCTTGCAACACAATTCTTCCACTATAAAAAGTTAGGTTAGGTTAGATAGGCCAAGTCATTATAATTATTATACAGGGTGGTCCGAACTGTATTCCGGAAACTTCGGCAGCGTATTCTGCAGATTAAAATAAGTAAAAAAGTTCGTATAAATGTATGCTTATTTTCAGAGATACAGGGTGTAGAAGTTTTATTTTTATATCGATTTTTTCTAAATAATTGAATTGTTCTGAAGTAACGTCAATATTTGGATGAAAATTGGTGTCTGGGAGTTTTTTGACATGAGAAATTTGATTTTGGTGTCAATATGACTCCTACTAGTAGAGGGCGCTACCTACATGTGTTGTGATCTGTATAAAACTCCCGAGTGAAAAAAGATACATTTCTGGGACTTTTTACGTAAAAAATATCTCTTTGTAAAAATCGCTACGAGCAACCTTTCTTAAGATATTTAGAATGGAAATAGACAATACATATCATTATTGATGAAAAATAAACACATTGAGTAGGTAGTTATTTCACTGAAATAATAAATTAAGGAAATTTTTATGTTTTTTAAATTGTAATTTTTTCTGCAAAAAATGATGATAAAACACTTTCTATTGAACATTTGACACAAAACCATTTCAAATTTATAATTTCAGTCTAATAACTATTTAAGCTTGATTTTCATGCGTCCATTATCCGTTGATACGATGGTCCGATATTAATTTTATTGGTTGAATTTAAAGACTTCGATTGGTTAGAAACGGTTAACCAATTGAAGCCTTTAAATTCAACCAATAAAATTAATATCGTATCATCGTATCGTCGGACAACGGATGCATGAAAATCAAGCTTTAGTCAATATATGTTTAATTTATGTCACTGATGACAGGTATTGATAACTTCGATTCCAAATATCTCGAAAACCATTATTCGTAGCGATTTTTACCAAGAGACCTTTTTCACGTAAAAAACGTCATAAATGTACTTTTTTTACTCTGTAGTTTTATACAGGTACGGACGAAAAGTTATTAGTCTTCAAACTTCAAGTTAAAAATATGTAAGTGGCGCCCTCTACAAGTAGGAGTCATATTGACATTAAAATCAAATTTCTCATGTCAAAAAACTCCCAGATACCAATTTTCATCCAAATATTGACGTTACTTCGAAATTATTTGGAAAAAATCGAAATAAAAATGAAAATTCTACACAATGTATCTCCGAAACTAAGCATTTTAGGATATACATTTATACGAACTTTTTTACTTATTTTTATCTGCTGAATGTGCTGCCGAAGTTTCCGGAATACAGTTCGGACCACCCTGTAGAAATAAAGATGACTAATATTGATACTAACAATTTATAACAAAATTGTTGAATAGGTGCTGTAAGAGAGACTAAATAAAATAAACTGACTTGCTTTTACACGAGCTCCCACAACTTTTTATAGTGGAAGAATTGTGTTGCAAGACTTGGCTTTTTTTTACATGCCCGATATCTATGTCGACAGATATCTTCTTTGGTTATGTTATTAATAATGCCACAATAATTCTAAAACATTTCTTTTCTTTTCTAGGCCATTTCCATTGCCCATTCGAACAGATTTCAGCGATACAACACCAGAATCAACCCGTTCCCATTTCCAGGCTGCAAACATCTGCGTTTCGGATCTGACGAGTACTGGGCCTGCGCGGTTCGTCACGTGAGTACCACTTTGGGCCACCACGTCGGCACGTGCAAAATGGGTCCAATGGGTGATCCGACAGCTGTAGTAGATGAACAACTGAGGGTGTACGGTGTGAAGAACTTACGGGTAGTTGATGGGTCGATTATGCCCAATGTTGTGGCTGGACATACGAATGCTGTTATATTTATGATTGGAGAAAAGGCTTCTGATATGATTAAGGACAGTTGGAAAGGGTTTTAACATACCGTATTTCTTTTTATTGTGATTTGTTTTTGTATATAGTAGATATAAGGTACTATTTTAATAAAGTTTTTTTTTGTTAGTGCATGATCTTATTTCATCCATATAAGGGTCTACTGAGCTACTATAACGGGCGGTATAGTGGCTCAGTTATACAGGGTGGCGCCTCTCATACGCCGCACGGTGGGGTATTAGCATGAAAAAGGTGATCGAAATTCGAAAAAGCAAATGTGTTTAAGATTTTCCAAAAAAAGATAAATGATAAGTTAAATCATCTCTGCCATGAATGGCGTTGCTATGGGTGTGTTTAGTTGCATTCATTTGTTTCAACGAAACGTCAAAGTTGTTACTTCTCACAGATAAGAGGTAAATGGCTAAATTTTATGTTTAAAATTATAAATTCTTGTTGTTCTTGTGCTCTTTTTACGTTTATATTATTGTTTTGATTGAAAATCTCAATCTCAGCAAGCTGCAAATATGTATTCTACAAAAAGGTATTATTTATTTTGATATTCTCTATACTAACGATTTTTTTTGCAACTAAAAGTTAGGCGTTCAGAAAATTTGATTAAATTTGTGACATTTTTATTATACTTAGAGATTTAGTTGCGCATTTCGAAGAATTCAGTATATTGTCTATATACGTTTTACTTAGTAAACATTGGGCTTTCATACAGTAAAATAAAATACTGCGACTTTTTGCGATTTTGCTGATAAAATGAGAAAAACATTCTTCGTTTCCTCTAATTTGCCAATCAGTGATATACTAATGCGAGGTGTAAACCGCGATGGCATTGTTGTGTACAAAGCGATCGCATTAGTGCCATTAGCAGTATAGCACAATTTGGCATTAGTAGCGACTTTAGTGGTATGGGCATTGCTCGCGGATCAGTCGTAGCATTAGTAGTCGTAGTTGCGATATTACTACTAACACTGACCGTGAAAACACTGGAACAGTGATTTTTCTTCCTTTTTTTAGAATCGACGAATTATCCTTTATTTTGTTCATATTATTTCCTTTTTAATTGAGAATAGCAATAATTTATATAAGGTCTACATAAAAAAATTTCGATCAACTATCAGTATCAAATACCCCACTGTGCGCCGCGGAGGTTCCAAGTTCCAACGAGAACGACAGTTTGTATTGAAATGAAATTTTGTGAAGATATGTAGGTTAATTCAGAGCACTTTTGAAAAATATTCTGAGTTCTACAGGGTGTCCCCAAAAAAAGTTACATATCAAAGTTGTGTTTTTTGTAATAATATTATTAATTGATTTTTTGTATTATTTATTATTATACATATTTATTATAATATATTATTACCCTATTTATTAATTGATTTTTGGATTCTGGGAGAAAAATAAAGGTGAGTTTTATAAGAGAAGTATATGACTAAAATGTAAGGTTTTTGACATATTTAACATTACCTAGAAATAAAGAACAATTTTTAAATTACAATAAAAGCTACCTAAATTGGAATTTACCCGGTATAGCCTAATATGTAGTTAAATTAACTATTGTACTTTAAACCAAATTAAATTTTGTTCCAAAAAGTTATACAGGGTGAGACAAAATTAATATTGAACATTGCACATCTTTAAAAGCATGTTACTCTTTTATTTTAAATGGAACACCCAGTATATTATTCTGATATTCAATGGAGAATTCATGTCTCTTCAAAATACTATCAAGGTTGCCTACCCCTTAAACAAAGATTTTCCTAGATATTTTCATTTACTTCAGTTGATCTATGTAAGATCTTTATTATTTGATAAAATCTAGGTGTGATATGTCTGACGTTACTTCAACATAATTGTCTAATTAGTCCAACTTTAACAACTAGTTATCATTTTGTGAATTAATTAAATTGTGAAATTAATTAAATGTGAAATTAATTGAATGTAGTGAATGCACACTGCATTCACTACATTCAATTAATAGAATACTTCAATGCTCCTGATTTTATGTAGTCTGGGTTTTTTATGGGGACATGTTAAAGACAGCGTTTACAAAACTCGAGCAGCTATTGTCGACAACATGAGAGAAATTATTGTAGCTGCTTTTCGAGGTAGAACTCCACATATGCCTTTTAAAATAAAAATATCCTTTTGGGAAGACAATCATTTTATGCAGTTAACAGGAAAGGAAGTATTTTGAGCATTTGATTAGGTCTAGCTTTTTTTGTCACATAATTATAGGTTTATATCTAGTTTTAATTCTGTAATAATTAAAATATGTTTTAAACGTGTATCTTTTTATTACTGTTGAGTATTGTACTCTACAATCTTTAATTTTTGATAAATTAACAAAAGGTATATCACACAGCCACCCCTAGATTTTTTAAAATAATAAAAGATATATACTGACGCAAAATCATAAAAATTTAAATATCGAGGAAAATCTTTGTCTGAAAAGTAATTTTCAAAGTAAAATAACTCCGTTATTTTTGACTTATTTGAAAAACGATAAAGAGAAAATATGTTTTTTATCGAGATCTACCACCTTAAAATAGTTCCACTTATTTTTGGGACACCCTGTATAGATACAAATTGTAATATAATTTATAGTAATTTTAAAATAACATTCATAAAGTAATAATATTTTACTTTTACACCTTTTTGTTTTTAACAAGGACATAGATTGCAAATTGTAATAAAATCTATGATAATTATGAAAATTACATTTTTGTAGAGTAATAAAAATACAGGCATATTTGAAAGTATCAAATAGGTACGCTCCTTTTAAAGTAGAATGGTAAATATTGCAATATTTATCAAAAAAGATTAAGTATCTTAGATAACACAAAGAAAATGATTAATAAGTGTGAGTGATCTTAAGTCACAGGTTGTAAACATGTCGTTTAAATATAGAAAAAATAATATAGAAAATATATTTCAACCTGTAGAAGTTCGTTTTGCTTATCTAATCAGAGCGAATAAATTATAGGTACTTATTGCTGACACACATGGCCAAAATTATTGCATATATCGAATAAAAACATACGGAAAGGGATTTAAAGAATCTTTTTTATACATATATTTGATAATCTGTAATAATTTTTTTTTTGTTAAAATGGATATGGTAAACAATGTTTATCGTTCAGACTCAATATTATTACAAATTCTTGCACATTTCGATTTGTTGTCCCTTGGGTTTCAGAAGAAACTTGACCATTGTTTTGGCCTTAAAATGCCTAGAAGCATTATTTCACAGTTTAATAGAGTCAGAATAGTAACACTGTTTCAACAGGGCTACCGGCAAGTTGCAATAGCTGAAATTGCAGGAGTTGACCAAAGCGATGTTTCGCGAATATTAAAAAAATTCAGGGAGACAAACGAGGTTACAAGCCGGCCTGGAAGAGGTAGAAAGAGAGTTACTACTGCTGTGCAAGACCGTCAAATATCCCTAATTGCACGACGTAATCCCCTGCTTTCTAGTACTGCTATTAAAATGAGTTAGCTCGCCTTGAAGGAGTAAATCGAGGGGTGAACACTTAGGGGATTTATGGTGTACACATGAGAGGATTTACAGGGGATGTACCGAGGATGTAGTGGATGTACCGAGGATGTAGTGGATGTACCGAGGATGTACTATAGGATGTAGGGGATGTACCGAGGATGTACTAGAGGATGTAGGGGATGTACCGAGGATTTACCGGGTATGTATTTCGAATTATTTGGGGCGTAATTTGCCGAATGCGATGTTTCAAGTCATCCAAATTTGTGGGTTGTCTTTTGAATACATTTTCCATAAGGTATCCTCTTAAAAAAGGTTTTTTTCTAATATTTTTTTCCACTTTTTAATTTTTAAATGAGAATAACTCCAAAAAGCTTGGATTTGGGTAAGCACTTACATGGAAAATATTCAGAATTTTAAGGGCAATTCAAAAATGCAGAAAAATAATAATTATGTTGCCACGAGGGTTGCCATTAAAAGAAATTGTTTTGGACAAAGCATTTTTGAGACACCCTGTATAATATTAATTTTTTGCATAATCTGCCCCGGAAAAATTAAAATAATTGATGTGGCCGAGCGATTTCCAAAAAAAATGTGGTTCTCGAAATGTTGATATTTGTTCAATATTTTACAACCACCCTGTACGAAATCAAATAGGATCGAATATCGATATTGAGAATATAGATAGATATAGATATTTCCGATATGAAGTATTCATAAAGAGATATAGCGGTATCTGTTATATCGATAGCTATATCGATATTTGTGGACGAATATATCGTTACTTGGTTTTCACGTATGTGAATTAGCTTGTGCACATCCGTTTTTCTCAATGAATTTATTAAATAAAGTTTGCACAAGCCGATTTTCACAAGCCGATTTGCACAAATTTCATGTGAGTGAAAATGGACCTTTATTTGATATATCGATAAAAATATCGATACTCAAGGCTTTGTGGCTCACCCCTACTCATAACCTCAAAATATCTCGCAAAATGTATGTATAAGTTAGATATATAGACTTTAATCCATATCTCTGGTATAAGTTTATGCAAAAATGTGTTTAGCATGTGTGTTCATATCTTATTGCATAGTGCCGTAAGCGTTATGAATTAAAGGGAAGTGTGTGTAAATAATTATTATTGTACCTTCTATACGTCAAAAACGAAGTTCATAAATGCGAATGCCTTAACGTTGCCTATTTTTAGGTCTGTTTTATAAAGTAGATCCTCGGTAGCTACTAGATCTCATTTTTATTTGGGGTTCACAACACGAGATTGATAACTTTGCAAATAATATAGGGCTTTACGCATGGCTAAGTTATTTTTTTCGCCGACATAAACTGCATAAACCGAGGCATAAACTGCTGTTATACAGGGTAAGTCTTAAATAAGTGCAAATATTTCCAGGGGTGGTATATTTTGACCCCAGGAACACGTCTATGATGCTTTTTTTGCAAATAAAATATGTTGAAAATCGTGCATTTTCTTTTAAATTTCCCTGTATATTTTTCGAAAACTTTTTAGAACTGCCTGTTCACCGCTAATTTTCCCACGTTATAAATTCTTAATCTCTGATATTACCATAGTTACAGCTTTACTCTATGGTTACGGCACTAAAAGGGCACAAATACAGAAAAAAATCAGGTGGCTATCAAAATTTAAAAAAATCAATTTTTTTTTTAATTTTCAAACTTAAATAACTCGGTTATTTTGGACTTATTTGAAAAATGGTAAAGAAAAAATATGTTTCTTTTATCGAGATCTACCAGCCCTGAAAATATTTGCCTATTTAAGACTCACCCTGTATAATAAAAGTAACGGCGAATTGTTGTAGGCACAACAATAGCCGAGATTGTTACAGCTCTGGCAAGATTTGATATGGGTTGGCGCGCCTTAGTTCGATTCTCGATGACCCCATATAATTTTTTTAAATGGTTTTGATTTTTTTTTGTCCTTTTGAATTCAACAAAAATATTAGGTGTCAACTATATTACTAGCCAATAAATTGTAGAGGTTTGAGAAATTTTGTGTAGTTATACATATAATAAAGCTCGTAATAAAGTGGGAGATCGCTCTAACATAAATAACAATTCCGGTTTCGTCGTAAGTAAAGTAACCTTAATCTTGTTGTTTTAAATAAAAAAACACCCTGTTAATTTTTATATCCCTCTAGTAAATGTAAGTCGAAATGGTGCTTCATCTTTTTTTTATATATTTAATAGTTTCGGAGATAATAGCGTTCAAAATTTTAACTTTCTTTTTACTATTCAAATAAAATTTAAAAAAAATATATACGAAAATATATCGAAAAGTATTTTAGATACGTAAAAAGGTTCATCACGAAAATTATTCTAAATGTATGGCGTACACATGAGAGGATTTCCAGGGGATGTACCGAGGATGTACTAGAGGATGTAGGGGATGTACCGGGGATGTACCGAGGATGTAGTGGATGTACCGAGGATGTAGGGGATGTACTAGGGGATGTACGAGGATGTAGGGGATGTACCGAAGATGTAGGGGATGTACCGAGGATGTACTGGAGGATGTAGGGGATGTACTAAGGATAGAGGATGTAGGTGTACACTTTTTGCCCTATGTGTTTACCCCTCGGAGTAAATGTTTCAAGAAAGATTATAGCAAGAAGACTCCATGGCAGAGAATTACATTTAAGGAGGCCTCTACGTGTTCCCAAGCTTAATTTACAGCACAAAATTACGCAACTACAACGGGCTGAGGAGATGAGAGCAAATGTCGATTTAATTGGAATTTCATCATGTTTAGTGATGAAACAAGAAAATAGGCCTAGTGTCAGACTCGCGACGAATTTTGGTCTGGAGAGCATCTGGAAGACGAGCACGCTTGAATGCAGCTCAACCCCGTGTCCCGTTTCAAGGGGGAAGCATATAATGGGCAGGTATAATGCACGGAGCTCGAACTCCTCTTGTTTTTATTGATGGCATAATTACAGGCGCCTCATATCTTAGAGACGTTTTAGAGCCTATATTGTGCGTCCATTTCGAGGGGCAGTGGGGGATTAATTTGTTTACATGGTCGATAATGCTCCTCCCCATCGCAGTTTAGCGGTTTGCGAATTTTGTGAGGAAGAGGGTATAAGAAAACTGTGGTGGCCACCGATGTCTCCAGATATGAATGTGATCGAACATGCTAGGGACATGTTAAAACGTCATATTGCCCCAAAAGGAATGATCCTCCCGTACCTTAAATGAATTGAAAATTGCTGCGCGCGAAACATGGGAAGCCATTCCTCAACATCTTCTGGACAGCTTAATTGAGAGCATGCCACGTCGTCTCACAGCTTGCATTGAGGCTCGAGGAGGCAATACAGACTATTAGTTGTGAGAAATAATTAAAATTGTTTTCAATATTTTCTGTTTAAAATGAAATTTGTTTTTGTTGATTTTCACTCATGAAATAAAATTATAATAACAGCCTAGTTGCACTTAGATTTTTAATTTTATATTAGTTAATCGTGTAGTAAGCAAATATATCCAAAAATATAAAAAGAATCATATTAGGTCCAAAATATAATAAAAATATCGTTATATGCAATAATTTTGGCCATGTGTGTATTTCTCTATTTTAGATAGTAATTTAAATAATTTAGATATAATCTAATGACAGCCTAATTTTTATATACTGAGTACAAAAGAAAATGCATAGATTTTTAAACCTATATTTTTTTTTCTCAAAACTAACAATAGCTTTAACAAAGGGCTTAAAAATATACATTATTCCGTAGTGACATAGTTAATTAAATACTTTTATCGAAATTTGATAACAACTGATAAACTTACAAACTAATACACTAGGCCAGGAACAAGTACAGTGAGTAATGATTAGCCTTCGATAAAAAACGACTATGTTGCAAAATGTACCAGTTAGTGTTAGGTGTAACCCTAGTTTTATGTACGTTTAGTTTAGTGTTAACACAAGACAGTGAATTGATTTTGTCGTTGTCAGACGAAAAATTAGGTAAGATCACAGAAAATTTAGGTAGGTTATTACTCAAAAATCGTATACTTCAGCTTTTTGCTTTTAAGCATTAACTTATACCGAGTGCGTCTCAAAAGTGGCTCACGTCTATAACGTTTTTATTTATTCAGATAAAAAATAACGAGATTTGGTATATTAGTATGTGACAGAAATTAGGATTGATTGTTTTTGGTCACTTCTTGTTTCTTTGGAAATAACTGCAATTTTTGATTTTTAAATGGCACCTTCTGGTATATTTCTACTTAATTCGATAGAAAATGACACTCTGACCTATGAATAGAATGACATATCATTGACATTGTTGCATATGGTTTTTTTGAAATTGTAACATGCGGTTCATAACGACAATTTAACTCGAAATACCAAGTGTGTGGTATCAAATTATTCGTAAAAAAATACTAATGAGCCACCTATTTGAAAAAAATTTTCCATTTGAAAAAATTGAGATATGATTAAAAATACGATTTGGGCGTCTTTTAACCGACGAGAACAAGACACGAAAAACATTAGACGATCAAATATATTTTTCCAAAGCTCCTTGATTAAAAATTATTTTTTAACACAGCCATATGGCACTCTAGATTGAAAATTAAAATACGATTTTTTAAGCGAAAATGTCAAAAGTTGTAGTCATTTCCGGTGAAACAGGAAGTGACCAAAAACAATTGAATACGTCAATCAATATATTATATATATATATATATATATATATATATATATATATATATATATATATATATATATATATATATATATATATATATATATATATATATATATATATATATATATATATATATATATATATATATATATATATATATATAATCAAAAACCTTTCTACCCGAAGGTGTAAGGTATACTAAATTAAATAAATTCACTTAATTGCTACACTATACACAAATTGTTTCCATTTATTTTTCTCTCTTGCTAAACTATTGGCTTCTGTTAATGTTAGTCCTCTATCCTGCACTATCTTCTCTATTGTGTCATTCCACGTTTTACTTGGTCTTCCCCTTGGTCTCTTTCCCTGCATTTTAGCTTCCCACACGCCTTTTACTGGTATGTCGTTGTTCATTCTGTTCAAATGTCCATACCACCTAAGCTGACATTGCTCAATTTTATTCAGGATCGAATCTACTTTTAGTTCCTCTCTTATAAAGCTGTTCTTTAGTCTATCTTTCCCTGTTACCCCAAGTACTCTTCGTAGATATAACATCTCCATTCTTTGGATCTTACCATTCAATCTTTAAGTTAATACCCAACTTTCACAGCGAAAAATCAACGTCGGTATGAATACTGTCTTGTATACTCATCTTCACTGCTCTCGAGATTTTTTTTTTATTTAAGAAATTGTTTTTAATGGCTTGATACAAGCGGGACGTGTTGCCAATTCTTTCGATGATTTCCGTCTCTTGTTCTCCTGTACGTGCTACTGATGTTCACTCCCAAATAAATATTTGTATGAATCGACTTGTTCCAAATTGATGTCATTTATCTCTATATTCATATTGACTTCCGTTTTACCTAAAATCATAACTTTTGTTTTAATCTCATTGATTTTTAGATTTTTCTCTCCAAGAGCTTCCAGCCAGATTTCTATATTTCTTTTCAGTTCTTTTTCGCTGTTAGCTAAAATTGCCAAGTCATCTGCAAATGCACATTCTTTTTGTCGTCTGAAAAAATAAAAAAGTTATAGGGGGTGAGCCACTTTCGAGACGCACCCGGTATAGAAAATACCAATGTATACATTTCTTCCAGCAATGTCCATATCTCCTAAATTTGTCAAAATAGTAGTGGGTGTGTGGTACAGTACGTATAACTGCTTACCAAGGTGATGGTTCAAATTTATATATATATATATTTTTTTAATATTACTGTTTCTTATACCGGGTGACAAAAAGTAAACACGATTTTGAGACAAAAACAAGACAAACTTGCGACAAAAAATTGGGAATTCTGACAAGACAAACTTGAGACAAATTGTCCACACCGCAAAGAGAAAAGTACAACAAAGTCAAAAGTTTAGTAGTTGCGAATGAGTTTTATTAATCATGTGTGATTTCACTGGTCTCCTACTGTTCGCAGCACACGCCATCCACACTGCGCCGACAACTTGTAAAATATACGAACAAAACATAGACACTTTAATATTTACCGACTCAAGACGGGACATTGAAAAGTCTCCGAATTTTGAAACAAAACAAAAACGCCAAAATGTATTGGATTTGTCGCAATTTTGTCGCAAAACATGAATGTTTCTGTCTTGTCGTTGTTTTGTCCGCTTGGTCTGGACCCGGCATTAGAAAATTCTGCTTTATTTCTTGAAATATTGCTTTATTTTCAATGAAATAATATATTTTAGAAAGATGTTATTAAAATTTTATGATCTACAATTTCATAAAACGATACACATATTATTTAAACTTTTTTGGTGTTTTTTTGTTGTTTAAACTATATTCTTCTATTTGTTGCAGTGTCGTATAAAAGTTGTAGACTAGATATCGACTGTGACTTAAATTCTTTTTGTTACAATAACGACAATGCAAACAACAGAACCGGGTCCTGCAAATGCCAATCTGGATACGAATTGTTATTAAGAAATCGCACTTATTACGCTTGTAGAAAATGTAAGTATAATTTTTGGTAAGTATATTTGTTTACACTTGGACCACAGCCTATGTAATACCAGTCGTTCAACTTACGATTCTTTACATTGAAATTTTTGATCAAACAAATATCTTATTATTTCCTTATCTTATGCTATGTAACAAGCAGGCTTCTGAACTCTATTTAAGCTTCGTATATAATAATGATCGAGACTAGTGTTGTGAATGCTAGACTGTGTACGAGAATAGGCGCAGCAAATGATACTGAATAAGCTGTGCTTTTCCTGCTTTTCAGAAAAGTAAGTTTACTCTGTATATACCTGTACATAATTTATATTTCTAGTGGCTAAATATAATGAAGAATGTGAATTTAATATTCAGTGCGTCACTGACATGGGCTCTCTAGCAGTGTGCAATGGTGTATGTACTTGTCCAGAAGGAACGAACTATTATCCATGGGATAAACGTTGCCATGCAATAAATCGTAAGTAATCTATACGAGTAGAATATAGAATGTTTGGGAGGGGCGTTAATTACATGACCTTATAGATCTATTAAAGGCAGTGTGCGAGAGGTGGGCTGGTACTGGGTTCGATTTCCAGCCAGTACGGTCGCTTTATTTATTTAAATAAAAATATCGATTTATCTAAATAGAGCGACCAGCGAGCCGCCATGCCACCTCAAGGAAGGCAATGGCAAACCACCTTGAGTATATTTGCCTCTCAAATAGTGCCGTTTGGATTCGGCGATAAAATGTAGGTCCCGTGGGTCCCGTGTACTTGTGAAATACTGATAACACACATCACAAGTACAGGCTGGGTCAAATTCGACGCTTTTAAATGGAAACACCCTTTTCTATAGGAGATAGACGAAAACTAATATCAGTGTCTGGAGCTCAATTTTCATCAATATGTGCTACCGTTTCGGAGTTACGGGGTGTTTTTCAAAAACGTGCATTTTTAACAAATCGCTGTAACTTTTTTGCTATGGAAAATTTTGTATTTCTATGAAAACATTTCCAAAGCACCTTTTTATGTAGAATTTAATGGTTTAAGTATAATTTTTTTAAAATTAATAATTTAAGAGTTATCAACAGAAAAATTGATTTTTTATTTGGGACACCCTCTATATTTTTAATTAACTGAAAAGAATATAAAATTACCTTTCCAATAATAAACCACACTTGATATTTTGTTATAATCCCCTTCGAAATACAGAATTTTTAAAAGTTCGCCACTTTTAACTAGTAGGCTTTGGACCCCTTATTGATGATATGCTCCTAATGGAACTCGAAAACATATTTTTCCAGCAAAACGACGCACCGCCTCTGAACGCTTAAGTTATCAGCAAATCTTTGCAGCCAATTTCAAGAATAATTGAACCTGACTTAGTGCCAATGGATCTAATCCTATGGATATATTTGCGTAAAAATAAAGGTTCCTTATTCTTCCGTATAATCTAGACAAGAATTAGAAATACTTAGCAGTTATGAGAGGGTATCTTTCACCCCCACTGAGTTAATGAATTCCGCGAGAAATGTTCAAAAACTGCCCTGTCTGTTCATAACAGAAGACGCCTTCGATATGTCGAAGACCCGGTCGATATGTCGAACACGTGTAACAAAATGTCACGTTTTGGTTTGCTATTTATTTTTATTGTTATTAGATATAGTTTAAATGTGTTGATGTTGATTAAATATATTTTAAATTGTTATAAAATTCTGCATCTCTCATAGCAAATATTATTTTTTTTAATTAATGCTCACAGCTAGAAGTGTTCTTGCATTACAGCCGGTGCCGTTCAAAGCCCACTTATTTAAAGCGTGCGAACATTTATATACTCTATACTCTATATCTCGAAGAGGAATCGAGCAAAATATCAAGTGTGTTATATTTTTGGAAAGGTAATTTTAAATTCTTTTCAACAAATTAAAAATATACAGGGTGTCCCATATAAAAAATCAAATTTTCTGTTGATAATTCTTAAATTATTAATTTTAAAAAAAATATACTTAAACCACAAAATTCTACGTAAAAAGGTGCTTTGGAAATATTTTCATAAAAATACAAAATTTTTCATAGCAAAAAAGTTACAGCGATTTGTTAAAAATGCATATTTTTGAAAAACACCCCGTAACTCCGAAACGGTAACAGAAATCGATATGCGGTTTTCACCATCATGTTTTTGACAAAAATTGAGCTCCAGACACCCATATTAGTTTTTGTCTATCTCCTATAGAAAAGGGTGTTTCCATTTTAAAAGCGTTGAATTTGACCCACCCTGTACATGCGAGAGGTAGCCGACGCTCTGTATACAGTATGGCACTGTAAGAAGATGATAGATCTATTAGGTGTTCCCCTTTTTTGAGTTATAACTCATCATACAGTTTCAGGTTTTCTTCTTCTTCGTCGTCTCTTCATGTCTGAAGAATCCTGATATTATGGCTATGTGCAGCTGATGATTTTGATCTTCCATCGTTGGCAATCTTCCGCCTCTCGGAGATTTGATTGAAATTGATGACCTGTAATATTTGCTATTTGGTCAAGCCATCTTGATGGTGATCGTCCTCTGGGTCTTCGGCCTTCTACTTTGCCTTGTACTATGAGTTTTTCAAGGTTGTTTTCACCTCTGCGAGTAATATGACCGAAGTATTGCGGATGCGTCTACAGCAAATGGTGCAAATCGATATGTGATGCCGAGTTCATTGAGAATTGACTGGTTTGTTCTTCGAGCTGTCCATGGGATACAGAGCATTCTCCTCCAGCACCACATCTCAAATGCATCTATACGGTGTCTATCAGCGCTCTTGATGGTCCATGACTCAGACCCGTATAGGAATATGGAGAACACCAAAGATCGAACACGGGGTGAACGAAACGGCTTTACTCCATTGTTAACGGCTAGTTCTTCATCTCCGATATCAGTCGGAATTGTTGTCGTCTCGGCGCATTCAGGGACGAGGTGTTCTGGTGTTTCCCCATTTTCTCCACAGAATCTGCATTTGCCGTTGTTTCTTAGCTTCAATCTGCTGAGGTGTTCGTTGAGGAGACAGTGTTTGTTAAAACCCCGTGATAATCTGAAGATTGTTTTTATTTAAATCAAGGAAAATTCTTCTCGGTCTTAAGTTCTGAGAAATTTCTTCTAGTGTCTTGAACCGTTGGAGGATTATCATTACAGGTTTGTTTTAAGTTAGTTTTCACTTGGAAAGCAGAACGGTTCTGGTCCAGTTACTGGAGTGTTCTCTCTTTTTCTAGCTAGATCGTTGTTTTTTCATTGCCTTCTTGTCCTTGGAAACACAAAACCATACTCGAGGTGACTTACTATTGCTTTCCTTACTGCTCGATGGTCGCTCGATGGTCGGCTCGATGGTCGCATTTACATGAATAAATATTTTTATTTCAATAAATACGCTTTGCTACCGACTGAGGATCGAGTCCTGTACTCTCGGATAGCAGTCAGACACAGTATGGGGACACAGGGCGGTGGGTAAATATCCAACGGGGAGGTAATACAATTTGGGTGTATACCTGGTATATACCCAGACCAATGTTTACAGAATAGTGTAGGGTATACATTACACTCATAGAGGAATATTGTAGATATATACCTGTATACCTGGGTATAAACTGGTATATTCCTGGAATTATACCGGTTATTTACTATGCGGTCGTCGAGGAATCCTCTTGTAAAATTAGGGTATTTACCTAAATTTCACCGTCGGCGTTGTGTTGTCTTCTTTTCATAGAATTTATTGGCGATTGTGCAGTTTTTTGTGTAGTCCTCGACTAACTGGTGATTTTCTGACCTTGGATGTTTCTTTAATTTCGAATTTAACAACAAATTGTTAAGGTACTAAGGTTAATTTAAGGTACTTTAACAAAGTATGTTTACTTAGATATATACCGGGTACAGTGGTATTTACCCAAATTGCAATATACGGGGTGTTCAGACAGACTTGCCGCTGCCACCCGCTATCAGTTTGAAACGCACACACCTGGTCTTATATGATTTTTTTAATTATTACAGTTTCGTTCTATTTAAACTTGAATGTTCTTCTAGTTTTAGGTGAATATTGCCGTACAGATGGGAACTGCGTCCTGGAAAATGGCTATGCTTACTGCGTAGATGGAAAATGCGAGTGTAACATTGGAGAAATACCTACTCCTGACAGGAATAGATGCATCACAGGAAGCAAACTTGGTGGAAGTTGCGCGGATGATGCTGAATGCGCTGGAACAGAGAATGCGGTCTGTCGAGAAGTCTGTAGGTGTCAAGTAGGATACGTCATTAGCAGAAATGAGAGTACTTGTTTAAAAGGTACCATTTTATTACAATATATTTGTGAAGTAACAGATTCTTAAAGCAGGAAAAAAAGACATCTCTTTTATTTCTGTTTTTATTCAACAAAACTATTTTTTAAATTACATGGTTTTTATCGTTTTAGCTGCAACGTACTTCTTGGAAACTTGTGACGAGAGCACTCAATGCTCAGAGTTTCTCACTGACAGTGTTTGTTTAAACAACACTTGTGTGTGTCAGGCTGGAAGGCACGGGTACCAAAACAAGTGTGTGCGGACTTCGGGCATCGGCTTTAGGTGCAGAGGTAAAATGGAAACAAGAATTTGAAATTAAAAAAAAATAAACCGTCAAAATTAGTGGAATAAATTAGTGGTTTCAAATAGCGTAGAAGTTTGTTTCTCTAATTTCAATGTAAGCCTTGAGAACGTTAAAATTAGTGGTAGTCATTTTCAATTAGAAAAAGTTAAGCTTAATTCAGAGCCATAAAATTAGTGGTTTCAATTAGCGTAGAAGTTTGTTCCTGTAATTTGAATGTAAGCATTCAGGACGTCAAAATTAGTGGTAGAAATTTGCAATTAGTGGAAAAAGTTAGCAAAATTTTAACTTTTCCACTAATTATACTTCAAAATTTGCGACGAATGTCATTTTGGCCTTTGATATCCGTCCGTCCAGACAAAATTTGGTTTGACATCAAAGGTTTATTGTTTTATAAGCTAAATATTAGACTTTCTCTATGGATACAACTGACTACCGCAAATTGTCGCTAGGATATTCCATTAATTTTAAGTGTGTTTTTTAGACATTGTGAATGATCGTAAACTAAAAAGTATAAAGCGTAATTGAGACCACAAATTTTTTCCACTAATTAGGAGGTTCTGAATGAAGTTTAATGCATATTAAGTAATTTACGTTCTATGATTCTTTATTTTAGACGTAGAAGAATGTATTACAAGTACTGAACAGTCTACATTAGTAAACTGCATCGATGGAGTATGTCAGTGCTTGCCAGGAGTGGTAGATGAATCACTGGGTTGTTATAATTCCGCTTTTCTACCAAGCTTTAACAGTTACATAGTTGTCCTTTTTTGTCTCATCTGTTATTTATTTTCATAGTCAACTTTTTTAAATAAACTTTTTTTAAATACAGATATTTCATTTGATTTCATCAAAAAGTTAATGTTTCTTTTACTTTGAAACATACTTGGGGAATAGTACCAGTGGCGGATGCAGAGGAGGGCCCCAAACTTCTAAAATCGATAGATTGGGTTAAAAATTTCGCCCTAAAATCCTAAAAAGCATATTCTACATTACTTTTTATTTGGGCCCCCCTAAAATAAATTCCTGTATCCGCCTATTTGGTATGTTAGTATATGACATAAATTAGGATTTTTTGACGTATTCATTTGTTTTTAGTCACTTCATGTTTCACCGGAAATGAATACAACTTTTGATTTTTAAATGGCATCCTCGAATATTTTTACTTAGAAAATCACACACTGAATAGAATGACATATCATATGTCAACTTTTGACATTTTCGTTTAAAAAAAATCGTATTTTAACTTTCCATCTAGAGTACCATGACTGTGAAAAACACTATTTTTTAATCAAGGAGGCTTGGAAAAATAGATTTGATCGTCTAATGTTTTTCGTGTCCTGGCTGGTTAAAAGATGCCCAAATCGTATTTTTAATCGTATCTCAATTTTTTCAAATGGAACGAGGGTGGCTCATTAGTATATTTGGAAAAACCATTTTTTACGAGTAATTTGGTACCACACAGTTGGTAGTCAAATTGGAGTCAAATTGTCGCTATGAACCGTACGTTACAATTTCAGGTAAAAGATAATTAAAGTTGACATATGATATGTCATTCTATTCAGAGTGTCATTTTCTACCGAATAAAGTAAAAAATACCGAAGGTGCCATTTAAATATCAAAAGTTGAAGTCATTTCCGGTAAAGCAGGAAGTGACCAAAAACAATTGAATACGTCAATCAGTCCTAATTTATGTCACATACTAACATACCAAATCTCGTTCTTTTATCTGAAAAAATAAAAAAGTTATAGGGGTGAGCCACTTTTGAGACACACCCGCTATATTATTTTACTGAACAGACTTAAAGCTTAAAAGATTTTTAAGGCGAAGAATATAACTAGAAAATTTAGAAAAAAACACATTTTTTTTCTATAAAGTTTATTACAAAACAAACAACAAAATGTAACAAAAAATTAAGTACATACAAGTTTTTGGTAATTAAAAAAGAACTAGTAATGTAATACTATTATGGCATCAAATGTAAAATACAATAAATTTGTGACATATTTACATAAATATACGTATTATTTTTTTTAATAAACGCGTTAATAGGTTCCTAAACATGAATAAATAAAGTTTATTATTTTGTTAAGTACACCTTAAATATCACAATCTAATAACTTTTAAGCATACAGGGTGTTTTATAAGTGCAAAAAATTCAAAAGAAATAATTTTTTAACCCCTAAAAATCAAATTATCTTAAAAAAACTGTAATTTCCTAAATTTTTCACACTCATACTATCACACCCTGTATATTGTAGAAATTCGTGTTTCCTCCAAGCTAAACAAATCTAAAAATACCGTTTCATTGTGTTTTATTGCGAAACATGGCTTAAATTCACTTCAATTCATTTCCTTACAAGACAAATTGCTATTTTGTTCAGAAACAACAATAACAAAGTCAGATATAAATATTTATAAGTCTATTCTACACCAAAACATTCTAATAAATAATTTATTGAGCTATACATTGAGTTTTGCAAATGTGTAATGGTTTTACAGGGTGTTACATGTTACAGGGTGTACCAATAAGACTAGACACAGTTGCCTCCTCTTGCGGCTATTCTACAAACTTGAAAATAATTTCCAACAAATAAAAACCTGTTCTCTTTAGTTATAAATATTTTTTTCCACAGGCATTTTATATGTAAAATTATATGGGAAATGTCATTGGTCGTCATTTCCAAGCCAATTGGCCGTTTTTTTTTCATATCATACAATACTTTCTGAGACACAGCCGAGACATACCTAATCTTAGTGGAACACTCAGTAGGTACTTAATATGGCGTAAAACGTATGGGTCAAAAAGTTATAATCAAACTGACTTCGAATATTGACATTTAAGATATATATTTATACCGTATGAACAAGAAAAAAAAACGGCGTCCAGTTGGCTGCGACGATCGATAATATTTACCATATAAAATGACAGTGATCTTCATTTATTAGCCATCGCCGACGCCGTTTTTTTCGATCATATTGTGTTTTGTTAAATATGACTTGTTTGATTATAAAACATTTTTACCATACTACGAGTATAGTGTACAGGGTGGGTCAAATTCGACGCTTTTAAATGGAAACACCCTTTTCTGTAGGAGATAGACAAAAACTAATATCGGTGTCTGGAGCTCAATTTTCATCAAAAACAAGATAGTGAAAACCGCATATCGATATTTGTTACCGTTTCGGAGTTACGGGGTGTTTTTCAAAAATATGCATTTTTAACAAATCGCTGTAACTTTTTTGCTATGGAAAATTTTGTATTTTTATGAAAACATTTCCAAAGCACCTTTTTACGTAGAATTTAATGGTTTAAGTATAATTTTTTTAAAATTAATAATTTAAGAATTATCAACAGAAAATTTGATTTTTTATATGGGACACCCTGTGTATTTTTACTTTATTGAAAAGAATTTAAAATTACCTTTCTAAAAATATAAAACAGTCGATATTTTGCTCGATTCCTCTTCGAGATATAGAGTATATAAAAATTCGCCCGCTTTAAATAAGTAGGCTTTGAACGGCACCGGCTGTAATGCAAAAAAATTCTAGCTGTGAGCATCAATTAAAACGAAAATAATATTTGCTATGGGAGATGCAGAATTTTATAACAATTTAAAATATATTTAACCAACATCAATACATTTAAACTATATCTAATAACAATAAAAATAAGTAGCAAACCAAGACATGAGTTTTTGCTACAGGTGTTCGACATATCGACCGTCTTCTGTTATGGGTAGACGGGGCAGTTTTTGAACATTTCTCGCGGTATTCATTAACTCAGTGGGGGTGAAAGATACCCTCTCATAACTGCTAAGTATTTTTAATTCTTGTCTCCATTATAAGGAAGAATAAGGGACTTTTATTCTTCCGCAAATATATCCATAGGATTAGATCCATGGGTACTAAGTCAGGCGGCGTCGAGGGCCAACGGGTGAGATCTTGGTTAGCTATCCAATTATTCTTAAAATTGGCTGTAAAATTTGCTGATAACTTCAGCGTTCAGAGGCGATGCGTCGTCTTGCTGGAAAAATATGTTTTAGAGTTCCATTAAAGGCATATCATCAATAAGGGACCCAAAGCCTACTAGTTAAAAGTGGCGAGCTTTTAAAAATTCTGTATTTCGAAGGGGATTATAACAAAATATCAAGTGTGCTATATTTTTGAAAAGGTAATTTTAAATTCTCTTCAGTTAATTAAAAATATATACGGTGTCTCAAATAAAAAATGAATTTTTCTGTTGATAACTCTTAAATTATTAAGTTTAAAAAAATTATACTTAAACTATTAAATTCTACGTAAAAATGTGCTTTGGAAATGTCTTCATAGAAATACAAAATTTTCCATAGCAAAAAAGTTACAGCGATTTGTTAAAAATGCACATTTTTGAAAAACACCCCGTAACTCCGAAACGGTAACAGATATTGATGTGCGGATTTCACCATCATGTTTTTGATGAAAATTGAGCTCCAGACACCGATATTAGTTTTCGTCTATCTCCTATAGAAAAGGGTGTTTCCGTTTAAAAGCGTCGAATTTGACCCACCCTGTACAGAGTGACTGAAAAAAATGACATCAAAAAAAGTCGCCAATCACATGGTATATACAGGGTTTGTTTAAAAATTGAAGCCAAAGATTATTTATTAATAAAATAATCGTTTTGCATTTCTGCCGCCTTTATTTCTATTAATCCAATGTTTATTGTGTATTTTGAAATAATATTTTGCTTGATTGATCACGTGAATGGACATCTTAAGTAGACTTGTGTGAGATTATATGAGTGAAATTGTAAAGCTTCAGAAAAATATTAATAGAGAATCTATTACTTACTAAAGAACTTTTCTATACAGCGTGTCACAGCTATTACTCAGCTTCATATGAGATTTTGTTTTTATTTATTGATTTAGGTCAAATCTGATATAATATCAAATATGACAATTAAAGTAATTAATGGCTAAAAAATGGGTTTATAGATCGAATTTAGAAAAACTTTATTTGAAAAAGTTGATTAAAAAAGTAGACAAGGAAACTATTTTTGTGGGTATTTATTTTTATTATATATGTATTTTTCTTATGTCATTTTTAACCTAATTCAAAGCATACTGTCGAAGTCAAATTTCACCTAAGGTAAACATTTAAAAAAAAATTCCCTATGATGCTATTAGAATTTATCTGCGTCTCTGTATATTGAAAGTCAAAAAGAAAGTTGTATTGTTGTCTTATTAGAAACATCGGCAGTACAAATCCAAACCGATTTTTTTTATTAATATATACAGGGTGTATATTTACAAGAAAATTCGTTTCATATCGTTTGAAAAAAACCTTGGTGTGTAAACGAGGAGTGTGAGCACTTAAATCTTCAGTTTAGGTAAGGCACCCTGTATAAATAATCTGTTTTTTTTTAATTTTAAACAAAATAAAATATTTTGTTAAAAATTACGTGTTTAAATAAAACCTTAATAGTAGATATCCTAATGTAATTGGATATAGTACTCTTTGGTGATGAGTCGACACAGCGCCACCTAAAAATAAAAAAAAATGTATTGATTTTAGCAAAAATCTAGTTTCTGTTTTTTTTTTCTAACATATGAGTTCTTATGGAAAATGTTATTAATATGAAATTTTCAAATATGTACGATACATCATTGGTTTTTTGACCTTAGAACCTCTTAAAATTCTTAATAAAATATCCAGGACCGTAGTTAACAAAGAAAGTTGATGATGATGAGCTTTGAGACGAAAGGTCGGTTTGAAAACATCATCTCGTACAGCAGAAAAAGTAACTATGAGAATGTAAAATTTATTTTGTTATATCTATCATTCATTTCAAATAAAGTCATAAAAAATAAAAGAAAACTGAGAATATTCGTTTTTTATTTTCAAAAATGTTCGGAAGCATTCGGAATTTTTAAATTTTTTGATCAACATTATACATTGCTCAAATTTGCCTCCATTTAACCAACCTGGTATCGCTTTTAGTTTTCGAGATCCCAACTATGAGGCTCGAATTTGGAACACTTTGTAGACATGTTACTGCAGTCATATTACAATAATATACAAGGTGAGTCTAAAATAAGTGCAAATATTTTCAGGGGTGGTATATTTCGATCTCAGGACCACGTCTATGAGTTTTTTGCAAAAAAGGTGTTAAATTTATGCATTTTATTTTAAATTTTCCTGTATATTTTAGAAAAATTTTTAGAACTGCGACACCGCAGATTTAAATAACACAGCGAATTAAATAACTCGGCTATTTTGGACTTCTTTGAAAAATAGCAAAGAGAAAATAAGTTTCTTTTATCGAGATCTACCAAACCTGAAAATATTTGCCCTTATTTAACACTCACCCTATTATAATATTACTATTGTATTACTTTTCACATGCACGCCTCATGTGTTTGTGCGTTTCGTGCATATTGGCGATGAATAAATTGTATACAGGGTGGTCCGAACTGTATTCCGGAAACTTCAGCAGCATATTCTGCAGATAAAAATAAGTCAAAAATATAATTTATATAATATATTATAATCCGTATAAATGTATGTCTTAAAATACATACATACATACAGCCGTTACTCGCTGACGAGTATTCGACACACATAAAGAAAATGGTCACGCAAGGCGTTTTCTTTCATGAGCTTTTCTGTGACTGAAAAGCCCGATACGTGATGTTATCTGCCTACCGCACTCCGGACATTCAAAAATCTCATTGCTTTGTTGCCTCTCTACTTTTTGGTTGCCGCTGTTAACTGAGTTTACAACCCTTCTCCATTGAGTTCTATTGTGAGCTGCTTTTTCCCACTCATTCTGCATGTTAATTCCCTTTAAATTTTCGTGGAAAATGTCCTTGTATCTTTTCAGTTGTCCACCCGGCCTCCTCTTACCGTCCACAAGCTCACCGTAAAGCAGAGATTTTGGTATGCGGTTTTCTTGCATTCTGCATACGTGACCAGCCCATCTTAAGCGGGATTTTGTGACCATGACTTCAATACTCTCGCAGTTAGATTTTTCAAGGACCGATACGTTTGAGACATGATGGAACCACCGGACTCTTAAGAGTTGTCTAAGGTGTCTCTGTTGCAACTTGTTCAATGCGTTCATGTGTCGGCGGTAAGGCACCCAGGTTTCGCTCCCATATATCATGGTGGGGATTATAATTGCTCGGTATACTGCAAGTTTTGTTTTTGTACTCAAGTCATGATTGTAGAAAACCCTGTCTTTTAATTTCCAGAATGCCCTTGAGGCGCTACTAATCCTGTGCTGAATTTCAGAGTCAATATTGGCCTTTTCCGAAATCAAACTGCCAAGGTAATTGAATTCCGCCACATATTCCAATAGTTCTTCTCCGATTTTTATAGCATTGTTGTGATCTTCCGGGTGAGTGCACATGATTTTAGTTTTGTCGATGTTTAGCTTAAGGCTCAAAGCCTCGTATGCCCAGGTATATGTGTTCAACATTTCTTGTAATTGTTGTACCGTGTTTGCAACTAGAGTGCAGTCGTCAGCGTATTGAAGTTCTGTGATAAATTTTGTACGTGTTTTTGCCCTGAGTCTTTTTATGTTGAACAGACCGCCGTCATATCAGTATCTAATGCCCAATCCTCTCTCCTGCAGTTTGCTGTCCACTATAATGGAGAGCGCTGCCATGAATATGTTGAATAGGAGAGGCGCTAAGACACATCCCTGCCTAACTCCTGTATTTGTTAGGAATGGGTCTCTCAGTGATCCATGATGTGACACTCTTGACTTGTTGTTTTGGAGGCTTTTACACACTGTAAGAAATTTGTTGGGTACTCCGAACTTTTCCATAATTGCCCAAAGCGCATCTCTGTTCACAGAGTCGAAGGCTTTTGTTAGATCGATGAATGCAACATAAAGTTTAGACTCCTGCTCTTTTACTTTTTCCTGTAGTTGACGGATGGAAAATATGGAATCGACGGTGCCGCGGTTGGTACGAAAACCCCTTTGCGATTCTGGAAGGATTTTTTCTATATATGGGTGCAGGCGGTTTGACATTATTTTTGCAAGAATTTTTCCGCCGATAGCCAATAGCGAAATTCCCCGGTAATTTCCGCAGTCTGATGCACTTCCTTTGTTCTTAAATATATTCACTATATTCGCATTGCGAAAATCCTGAGGTACCTCTCCGCTTTCCCATACGACATCAAAGAGAGCCTTAAGATGACCAATAAGTTCTTTACTTGCACACTTATAGATTTCCGCCGGAATATCGTCACAGCCAGCTGATTTGTTGTTTTTAAGCTGTTTTATGGAGGTCTTTATTTCTTGTTCTGTTATTGGGATGTCTAATACATCGAGGCTGTTATACTGAGGTATTGTGTTTAATGCTTCCATGTCTTAAAATGCTTAGTTTCGGAGATACAGGGTGTAGAGATACAGGGTGTAGAAGTTTCATTTTTATTTCGATTTTTTCCAAATAATTTCTGAAGTAACGTCAATATCTGGATGAAAATTGGTGTCTGGAAGTTTTGTGATACGAGAAATTTGATTTTGATGTCAAAATGACTCCTATTTGTAGGGGGCGCCACCTACATGCATTTTGACTGTTATGAAGAGTAATATCTTTTCGACGGTACCTGTATAAAACTACTGACTAAAAAAATATACATTTCCATAACTTTTTACGCAAAAAATGCCTCTTGGTAAAAATCGTTACGAGCAACCGTTCTCAAGATATTTAAAATGGAAATAGTCAATACCATGTCATTATTGACAAAAAATAAGCACACGTTGAATAGAGTTATTTGACTGAAATAATAAATGTTTATTTGTTTAAATTAATCATAAATTTTTCTGCGAAAAAATGATGATTAAACAGTTTCTGTTGAACTTTTGCCACAAAAAGATTTCAAATTTAAGATTTCGGTCAAATAACTATTTGGTCAACATGTTTAATTTGTCAATGATGACAGGTATTGATAATTTCAATTTCAAATATCTCGAGAACCATTACTCGTAGCGATTTTTACCAAGAGACCTTTTTTATGTAAAAAAAAAGTTGTAAATATATATTTTTTTACTCAGTAGTTTTATACAGGTATGGATGAAAAGTTATTACTCTTCAAACCAGTTAAAGCATATGCAGGTGGCGCCCTCTACAAGTAGGAGTCATATTGACATGAAAATCAAATTTCTCATGTCCAAAAACTGCCAGACACCAATTTTCATCCAAATATTGACATTACTTCTTAAATTATTTGGAAAATATCGAAATAAAAATGAAATTTCTACACCCTGTATCTCCGAAACTAAGCATTTTTGGACGTACATTTATACGAACTTTTTTACTTATTTTAATCTGCAGAACATGCTGCCGAAGTTTCCGGAATACAATTCGGACCACCCTGTATATCGCCAAAAATTATAAAATAAATATCAAACTTTCTTGAATTATTGAAAATATCAAACCAGAAATCTGATATAGCGCTTTTGGGAAATGTTAGATCAGGCTGTTTTTTTTTAATTTGTGTAATAGTTACTTACTTATACATGTTTGTCCGTCCTCACTTAGAAAATAATCTTCATCCTCCTGGCACTTACACGTTGCCCTTCCATCAATACCCGCACAATATGCCCCTTCTATACAGTGGTGGTCGTAAATACACTTGGATCCTACATCTGAAAAAAGATTACCTATTTATTAGGCTTTCTAAATATAACTAGTATAATTTTATTTACTTAGAGTTTGGTGCAAACATGATGAGTGGATGGATGATTGCACAAATTTCGAAAATTTCTTTTTAGAAACATACAGTTTCACGTTTTGACTCAACCTGGCATATTTTCAAAACAAAAAAATCGGTGACAGTTTGAACATTTAAATGATTTTTTCTATAAACTTTGCTGAATTTGCTGAACATAAGAAGATACAATATTTTTATTAAAACAAAAAGGAGTATAAGTAGTAAGCTATTTGACAAAAAACAAAAAATGTCATATACAAGGTGTTTCAAAAAATATGTACCATCTCACGTGGGGAGATTACTGACGTAAAAATAAGATTTATTTTTCATATCAACATAGGTCCGATTCTGCTTTGTTTCGTAGCTACAGGGTGTTAACGTCTTAAAATTTTTTCGATTTAATATAATTTTCTTCCAAGTACTTTTAGTGATTCGAATGAAATTTTGAGGGTAAAAGTTGCCATAAATGCTACATATTTTAATGCTAAAAAAGTGTCGATAAACTCATCAGGGACGTGCATATGGGTTATCACTAGAATATTTTGCAAAATAGAACATATGCGCCACTGACTTTTTCTTTTAATATCAAAATTTAAAGTTATCTCTTGACATTTTGTCGAATTCGGCCTCCTTGATTAGATAAACGCAAGTTTATTAATCACAATTAATAAAATTAAAATAAAATTAATAAATTATATATTTTACCTAATTTATTGTTAAATATTATTATTATTAGTTATTACTACTATTAGTCCAACCTACGGCAATTTCAAATAAAAAATAATTGTATTTAAGATAATTACAAAAAACCTAATTTTAAAATGTTTTAACATCCTGTAACTCTAAAACTATGCATTTCCATACTCATGTTTATAGGAACTTTTTTTCATATTTTCTGATGAGGAATCAATAAGTACCTACTTATTTTAAAACTTTCCCAAATTAATGATATTAATTTTTTTTAAAGGTTATTTCTATCAGACTTGGATCAAGGCAAATTAAAAAAATTACGTTTATCTTATCAAGGAGGCCGAAATCGACGAAATATGAAGAGACAACTTTCAATCGGCATTAAACTGCTTACACTATTTCGCTAATAAGAGAAAAAAAGTCAGTGACGTGCATGCTTTTTTTAGAAAAATATTCCAGTGATAAACCATATGCACGTCCCTGGTGAATATGTCGGCACTTTTTTAGCTTTAAAATGTGTCGCATTTATAGCAACTTTTACCGTCAAAATTTCATTCGAATCTCTAAAAGTACTTGGAAGAAAATTATAATAAAAATCAAAAGTATATTAAGACTTTAACACCCGGTAGCTTCGAAACGAAGCAGAATCGAAAAATAAATCTTATTTTTACGTGAGGAATCTCCCCACGAGAGATGGCACATGCTTTTTGAAACACCCTGTATATTACAGTTGAGGGTTGGAACCTTTGGTGTTACACAGCAAAATAAAAACACTAAATCACGACAATACACCAAAACACTTTTACTTTTACACTGGACGCGCGTTTCGCTAACCATGTTAGCATCATCAGCAGATGATTATAAACTAAAGTACAATCTACAAGTTGAGCGTTTATATACACGCTCAGTGGGCAACGAGTGGGCGTGGCAAAATCTAGCCAACCGAGTCAGAGCCAACTGAGCGTAACAGATAGATTCCGCCACTAGAGTAGTAGGAACAAAGAACTTGAAGGAATTGGACCGTTGACTCTGTTCATACTATCTTTACATTTATTAATTATGATGCTTTCATATGCATCTAATTGCCTGTAATTTGAGACTTGTTTAATTAATTTTAAATTATTAAGATCTATACAATGTTCATTATCAACAATATGTTCGGCAACGCAAGATTTATCCGGTCTACCATATCTTATCTGAGCTAAATGTTCTTTAAATCTAGTTAATATTGATCTCCTAGTTTGCCCAACATATTTCTGATTACAATCTTTACAAGAAATTTCATAAATACCCGACCTTTCCAGTGGAGGTGTTTTATCTTTTGGATTACCTAATAATTGTTGTAATTTATTATTAGCACTATACACAAGTTTATAATTGACATTCTTAAAAATTCCTTTTAGACCACGGGATAACTCTCTATCAAACGGTATCGAAAAATATTTAGACGTATCTTTCTCCACTTGAAAAGTCGAATTTTCAGAAATCATTAACCTATACCTACGTTTTCTAATTAATTTATCAACTAGTAAAGGAGAATATCCATTACACTCAGCTACATTCCTAATGTAATCTCTTTCTATTTCATATCTTTCGTTGGAAAGTGGGAAACTAAGTAACCTATGAACTAAGAAATTTAAACTAGCCATTTTATGTTCAACACTATGATGTGATTCATTAGGAATATATCTGCGTGTGGTCGTATTTTTCCTATAGATATCAAATGCCAGGCAATTATTAGTATTTCTAATAACTAATACATCTAGAAATGGTAATCTGTCGTTGTTCTCAATTTCATGCGTAAATTTAATGGAAGGAAAACGATTATTTAACTTAGAAATAAAATTATCTATAGTGTCTGAATGTGTGTCAAAAACAGCAAAAATATCATCCACATACCTAAACCATACTCTTGGAAAATACCCAAACTGATTCTTAGCCTCCACTTCAAACCTGCTCATGAATAAATTAGCCAAAAATGGAGACAATGGATTACCCATTGCTGTACCTTCCCGCTGTTCAAAAAAATTGTTATTAAATTGAAAACAATTTTGTTTCATACATAACGATGTAAGCTCAATATATTCACTCACAGTTTTGTTGTCGAGACCATTTGCGTTCAGTAATTCCTTTAAGTAGCCTAAAGTATGTGGAATTGGAACACTTGGGAACAATGAAGATACATCAAAGGAGATACATCAAAGGATAAATCTTGCGTTGCCGAACATATTGTTGATAATGAACATTGTATAGATCTTAATAATTTAAAATTAATTAAACAAGTCTCAAATTACAGACAATTAGATGCATATGAAAGCATCAGAATTAATAAATGTAAAGATAGTATGAACAGAGACAACGGTCCAATTCCTTCAAGTTCTTTGTTCCTACTACTCTAGTGGCGGAAATCTAACTGTTACGCTCAGTTGGCTCTGACTCGGTTGGCTAGATTTTGCCACGCCCACTCGGGGCCCACTGAGCGAGTATATAAACGCTCAACTTGTAGATTGTACTTTAGTTTATAATCATTTGCTGATGATGCTAACATGGTTAGCGAAACGCGCGTCCAGTGTAAAAGTAAAAGTGTTTTGGTGTATTGTGGTGATTTAGTGTTTTTATTTTGCTAAAAAAAGGAAATTTAAAATTTGTCAACATTCATGTATATAAAGTAGACATTAACAATCCAAAAAGTATAATGGAGGAACCAATGCGTCTAAACCAAAATTAAATGAAATTAAAAAAAATAATACATTCATCGTTATTTTCTTTTAATATTTTTTTTTATTTTTCTGTTTCAATGGCAAAATATATCCAAGCTTTTTCAAGAAAAAAAAACAACTAACTTAACAAATAAAATACAGAACTAAATTTAAAAAAGTAATAAAAGTACAAAATATATTTTGATGGCTAAATAAAACGGAGTTAATTGTTCTATGTTAAATAAATTTTACAAAAATATAATATGCTAATAAACCCCAGTGAGTATCAATGTAAATATTTTACATGTATTTTATAGGAATAATGAATCATGAAATATGATTGAGCAGGAAAAAAAAATTGAAATGGAATTTTCAAACACTATAATAACTAAATAAAATTTGATCAAAAAGTTATAGGATACAGCATGCTTTGTACGATGACAGATGTTACCAGCCATTTTAACTCAAAAGTAGATTGATTGTCGAACTGTCAAAGTCAAAGCATGCTTACTTATAAAACTTTTTGATGCTATTTGTGTACGTATACCCGATCTGGGTGTATAATACATTTATTTTAGAACATAAAGTATCTTATAAGATAATACATAATAATGATAAATGAGATACACATGAGGGTACGTATACATATCATAATAATAAAGTCGATAATAGTTTCGATAAGGATCCTGACAAACTCTTCGACAATACGATCGATAACTTTTTCAAGACCTTCTTTTAACTTACATCCAGTGCATTTTGTCCACTTCTCATCGGGTCTATAGCCAGATCTACATTGACAAGTCTCGTTCCTGCCACAGAAATATCCTATGGGTTTGCACTCGTCTACGGTACGACATCTACCGTTCAAACCTGAAAAAAAATATAACCTAAGAGATTGTGTTAAAATAAATACGAATTGTTATTTCAAAATAACAGTTCCTAATTTTATATCTTAGGTACAAACTATAAAATTACGAACTGTTATTGTTTAAAAAGTAACAGTTTGTAATAGTATAAACAACGAACAGTTATTTAAAAATAACAGCTCGTAACTTTTTGTTATTTTTCTTGTCAACGGTTATCAAGACCACCGTTCAAGAAATGTTTTGAGAATAACTTTCTAAATAATCATTTATCAAAGCATACATAATATATCTTACAAGTCATAAAATTACGAACTGTTATTGTGTAAAAAATAACAGTTTTTAATAGTATAAATTACGAACTGTTATTTAAAAATAACAGCTCGTAATTTTTTGTTATTTTTCTTGCCGACGCGACGGTTGTCTTGGAATGTTTTGAGAATAACTCTCTAAATAATCATATATCAAAACATAATTTTATATCTTACAAATCATAAAATTACGAACTGTTATTGTTGAAAAAATAATAGTTTGTAATAACTGTTATTTAAAAATAACAGCACGTAACTTTTTGTTATTTTTCTTGTCAACGGTTGACTGGAAATGTTTTGAGAATAACTGTTGCTCTAGTAAACAACAGTAGCGTAGCGTAGGCCCCGCATTCCTTCCAGCGGCCCCGCGTTCCTTTCTTACATTTTATTTGTTCCTATTAATTAATTTTAATTTGAATCATATTTTTATTAGAAAAATTTTATTTATGTTTATTTATTTTTATTATTTAGTTTTCTTTTAGTACCTAAGTTTTGTTTTATGTTGATTTATTTTGTAATGTTTTATTTTTTATGTTCCTTTATTATTATTTTTTCTTATGTGAAATAAGTTAAATTTTTGTTTTTATATATTAAATGACTTGATATACCTACATAAAGCTATATTATGTTTTTTAGTGTTTTTTTTTATTTTAATATAAGGGCCCCTAAAAAATCTTGAGGGGGGGGGCCTCACATTTGAAGTTACGCTACTGGTAAACAATAGTCGGCATACCTGTTATTTTAAACTATAATTTATAAGGATCAATTACAGATCCAATTGCAAGTTACAAATTACATTTTTGTTTACCCTGCCACCTCATATATACAGTGCCCGCCAAAAAGTTTGGAACCGATGGAATTTTTTTTATAGAGACATACTAGATCATATGCGTGGTCTGTATTTTAATTAGCGATGGGAACTATCGAATGAATTAGACTATCGAATGGTTAATGAATGAATGATTTCAACTATCGAATGGTTTTATTCGAATAAAATCATTCATTCATTTGTATACTAAAGCATATGTGACAACCTCGCCGTGCGACTAAATGGTTATCGTTGAGCCACGACTATCGAATGCTTTTGATAAATGAAATTTAGTATTCGTTTGATTTTTGTATGCGTCAGTGCATTATTAGTTCTTCCAAAATTTTATAACTTCGCCGTATAAATACTGTGCTATTTTTGCGTTTATTAAAATAGTTAAAATACTAAAATAGTAGTTATTTCTTAATTTTATTTATTGACAATTGTGTGCATGTGCAGGTGGTCAAAATTTTTCCGAAAATTTGTGTGGTTTTCTGTAGTCCGATCTTTCAATTATTTAATTTTATATGGTATATGGTCTATTTTACAATCGGAAATTTTGAGAAGTAGCAATTTTTAAGAGAGATGAGATGAACTTACAATTAATTTTAAAAATACATATTTGTATTTTAGATGTTTTAATAATATGAATTAGTTGAACTTAATAATGAATGAAATGAATTAGTTGAACTTAGTAAATGGGGTTATCGAACTCAAACTATGGGGTGAGAAAATTAAAATGAAAGTTTTACACGTGCCAATTTAAAAAAAAGTTAACGATGTTTGTATTTTGTTTATGCTAATTCTCTTACATGTAGTTTTTTGCGAAGAAATATTTCATTTATTTTTTAAAGTAAATGCCAGTAAAAGTAAATATAATTTTTAAATAGTAATATAAAGCACCTAATATAAATAATTTTGATTTCTAATTTTTTATTTATATTTTCCTTCCATTACACTGCATGCTTAGAAAATTAAAAAATGTTTATATTTCATGATTTTAAAATTTGTTGTTAATATAACAAATTAGTTCTGTAATTATTATTATTTAATAAACCAACGTTGCCACACACAAAAAATTTAGAGACTATATTATTATTAAATAGGATCTAATATAAATAATTTTGACATCTAATTTGTTGTTTACATTTTGCTACTACTTAAAAAAATATTTATATTAAATGATTTTAAATTTTGTTGTTAATAGGTATAACAAATTATTACTGTTATTATTATTTATTAAACCAGTCTTTGCTTAAAAACATTAAAAATCATTTTCCTACATCCAAAATAACAAGTATTATTGCAGTGTAACAACAGAGTATTAATAAAAAAGAATGCAGAATATATAGACACACTATCCCTAACTAACTAAAGCCAAACAATAATATTCTTTGCTAATATCAACTAATACCAAAATATGGCAACAGCGCCCTTCATAATGTATTTTCTGTGTAAATACTAGCACCTCAATAAAAAAATAATGTGTCCTTATCTATATCTGACTCCGCAAAAATCAAAGATGCCGGCTTCTTTTCATAGCATTGCCACCGACCGCTGTCGGGTTTCTCGGAAAGAAACCTACGTCGCCGGGCGACAACTAAAATTCAGTTAATATTTTATTATAATCGATCCTGACGAATAAATGAATTTCATAAATGAATGAATTTTATAAATGAATGGTTTTTGCTGCCGAATTACTAGAATACAATATTTCAAGGCAGATGACGGATCTATTCGATAATTTTTATTCGAATAGTTTTCAACGAATGTTTTTTTACTAACTATCGAATTATTCGAATGAATTGCAACTATCGAATGTTTCGATAGTATTCATTCGATAGTTCCCACTACTAATTTTAATGCATGTGACAGAGATAAATATAAACGACCGGTTGACAGACAGAGAGACCAAATAAAAAGCGGCATACAGTGATGCCGGTTTTTACGTGTGTAGCAAAAATAAACTCTTAAAAACTTTCATGTATACTACCGAAATAAAGATAATATATCTAAGCTATATATAATCTATTACAGCTGGAGGTAAAATAAGTAACTAATTGTAAAAAATAAAGTTCCAACCCTAGATGCAACACTTTTCGTAAACGCCTACTTGTCCGGTTTGAACTTTTGATGCAAAATCTGGCAATACCGCATAGAAGAAATGTATCAACCCAACTTTTATCTCTTTTTAATACAATTGATTTTCCATTATGCTGTCACATAACTGTCTTACACGTTAAAATCCAGTACGGTATACGTTTTGAAGGATACTGTAAACCCAAAACAATTATTGATATTTTGATACCCTGTTTTTTAAATATGTTATAGATAATTTACTCTTAATTGGGTATAATTTTAATGTGTTAATAAATGGTAACTTAATTGCATACTGTATAGTATTTACGTTAAAAGTGACATTCGATTATATGGTATTATTTAATCGAAGTTAAACTTTGGTCAAAATTGCACAAATTATGGTGTTAATTTACAGGTTGATTTTTCCAAAAATAGCAGGTTTAGTCGTGACTGACTAAGTTGGATGCAGTCAATAATAACCACACAGGCTAATAAAACTACTTTTTCAAATTTTTCAAGCTTTCGAGAATTGTATTCCCATCATCAGGACAGTTTGACTGAGTCAATTAGCAAAAACAACAAAAAGGCATTAAAACTAGCATCATATCACATTATAAGGACATTTCCTTTATAAAATATTAAAATACATATACAACGACATTACTTTTTTTAAAACAAAAACAAATTTTTAAAATTTACTAAGACTAATTTCTACATTGTTGTTTCGAGCTCGATCAAACAGTGATTCAGTTGGTTGATTTTTCTATATACTGAGTGTTTCTTTAGTAATTAAAGGCATAATTAAGGTTAGAAAAGTCGAAAATTTGAGAAAGTTATTAATATGAATACTGAACCACTGGGTTAACATATTTTTACAGTTTTTGGTTGTAGTTATAATAAAACTTAAAAGAATTTGGATATTTTAAATTATATAGTTGAAAAATTCTTAACAACTATACCGGGTGCGTCTAAAAAGTGGCTCACCCCTATAACTTTTTTATTTTATCAGATAAAAAGACGAGATTTGGTATATTAGTATATGACATAAATTAGGATTGATTGACGCATTCAATTGTTTTTGGTCCCTTCCTTTCACCGGAAATTACTACAACTTTTGATTCTTAAATGGCAGCCTCGGTATTTTTTTACTTTATTCGATAGAAAATGACATTCTGAATAGAATGACATATCGTATGTCAACTTTTGACTTTCTCACTTAATAAAAAATCGTATTTTAAATTTCAATCTAGAGTGCATGGCTATGTTAAAAATACTAATTTTTATTGAAGAAGCCTTGGAAAAATAGATTTGATCGTCTAATGTTTTTAATGTCTTGTCCTGGCCGGTTAAAAGATGCCCAAGTCATAGCTCATTAGCATATTTGGAAAAAGAATTCTTTTACGAATAATTTAATACCACACACGTGGTATATTTCGAGTCAAATTTTTGTTATGAACCGCATGTTATCATTTCAAATAAACCATATGCGAAAATGTCAAAAGTAGACATATGATATGTCCTTCCATTCAGAATGTCATTTTCTATCGAATAAAGTAAAAAAATACCGAGAGTGCCATTTAAAAATCAAAAATTGTAGTCATTTCCGGTGAAACAGGAAGTCACCAAAAACAATTGAATATGTCAATCAATCCTAAATAAATTAGTGTTTTTATTTTCCTAAATAAAGTTTTAAATTTTTTAAATTTAAAAAAAAATATATAGTTTTAATGATCAGTACCATTTGGAGTTCGTTGATATTCGTGGTTTTAGCCTATTATGGCGACAAGTTTGTTGTACCCTGTATATTTTGCTAATCATTTTAAGTAATTCTCGTTGACATACTAACGAATTTCGAAGCATTTAGGAAAACCATTTAATATAAGACTAGTAAAGCGATAATAAAGAATTTCTTAGGGTTAAAGCTTTTAGCAAAGATGACACTTGGCAACATGGACCGAGTTTTAAATGAGTTAGTTAAATTGAACATTCCCAAATTAACTGCTAATATAAGAAAGGCTATTTTCAAAAGCTGAAAACGAGATAGTCAATCTCAAAGAATTATTGTATACTGTATTAATTATTTCAAAATTAACTAAAAACTTGTAAAAACTGTAGTTTACTGTAATATATAGACTTTGCTTTAATAGAGAAAAAAGTAAAAAGTATATACTGCAGCTGAACTAAATGAAGAGCACCTTTTTTACATAAAAAAGTTTTAGCTTCTTATGTCATTTGTTGACATTACTGTATCTATAGGATAAAAAAAGTACGGCCAGTAGTACTCTCTACCCTAACATAAAGTAGCCTTTCAGGGCTGGTACGGAATTTTACACTATCGCCATTCGTTTTGGCATTAAAATGTGTGTAATAGTACCAAATTTCAAGAAAAATGGTTTACCACTGTTCTTAAAAACGAACAAAATACATAATTTTGATTTACCATTTCGAATTTCGAGTGCTGTAACTTCTTCGGCAAGCATTTTAGGGCATATGTTCATACGAACTTTTTGTTTTATTTTTAACTGTAGAATCACCCACCAAAGTTAGATACACTATATTTTGACACCCTGTATAAAAGTATACATCGACAAAAATATACAGCTTAGATTATTTTCATTAGAACTGAGAAGATTCTGTTATAGGTCGTGCAAATTTTTATGGAAGTTGGTAAATAATAATATTAAAATCTCTAGTTTGCTTACTTTATCAACATACATTTTGATTTTAAACGACTGGAGTCGTGCGAAAAAGTATTTTTTATACTATTTATCTCTTGGATCGATCCCCTAATACAAACATTTTGATATTGATAAAGTCTCCCCTCTGTTATAATGTGAGATTTCTATTTTACAGTTAAACGATCAAACGAAGACACAATATTTAGTCTGGTTACAAAAAGACTTTTGGAGGAATGTTTTGGGGTTGTTCTGATTTCTTCTGTTTATTATGTTTTTTAGGATGCTGATTTCGAATCTGATGTTTGTTATTTAATGAAATTTATTTACCTTTACTGCCTATCTCCATTGCTTTTGGATGTAAATATGACGTAAATACAAAATATTATTACAAATTTTAGAAATTAAATGCGAATTTCACTCGAACTTCCAATGTTTGCTTGATTTCTCTCACATAAATGACATTGATTGACAAACAAAACCAGAAAAACCAGCCTTCTTGCGCTGGTTAGTTTGGTAACAGTCATGTTACAGTTATAACCGAATTTTTCAGGAACTGTGTTTGGTAATAAGAAAACTTTCAGGAAACCGATAGAAACGGAACATATAAAACCATAACTAAGGTAAGCAACGGAATACACCCTTTATTCGATAGAAAATGATACTCTGAATAGAATGACATTATATATCAACTTTTGACATTTTCACATCTGGTTTATTTAAAATTGTAACATGCAGTTCATAAGGACAATTTGACTTGAAATACCAAGTGTGTGGTACCAAGTTAGTCGTAAAAAAATGCGTTTTTCCAAATATGCTAATGAGCCACCCTTGTTCCACTTGAAACAATTGAGGTATGGTTAAAAATACTACTTGGGCATCTTTTAACCGGCCAGGATAAGACACGAAAAACATTAGACGATCAAATCTATTTTTCCAAGGCTCTCTAGCACTCTAGATTGAAATTTAAAATACGATTTTTTAAGCAAAAATGTCAAAAGTTGACGCGAATGGCATTCTATTCAGAGTGTCATTTTCTATTAAATAGAGTAAAAATATACCGAGGGTGTCATTTAAAAATAAAAAGTTATAGTAATTTCCGGTGAAACAGAAAGTGAATAAAACCAATTGAATCCGTTAATCAATCATAACTTATGTCATATTTATACTACCATACCAAATATCGTTTTTTTTTTATCTAAAAAAATAAAAAAGTTTAGAGGTGAGCCACTTTAGAGATGCACCAGGTATGTTTTTAGAAATTACTAAATTCTGAAAAAATTTCAAGTAGTTTATAAATTTAAGACCCTGTATATTTCGTATTACCTCACTTTAAATCGATTAATCCTTTTGGGTTACTATGGAATCCAAAACAAAACTTCAAACGAAGACACATATTATTACCCGGTGGCACTCCAACTGTTTACTTCTTCGACAACCAAAACAAACCAGATGCACACAAAAACGGAACCACTACAAACTACAGCTTACCTTTCCTACTCTCGCCGATGCCAAAACACACTGCCACTATCAAACATCCGATTAGCGTAAAATCCGTGTAATCCATGACCGAATATTGTGTTTTTCTTGCTGTTTTTGCCTCGCGTTTGTGGTTAAACTGGTTAAGATCTTCGTCACAGTTCCGTAACTAACAGACGGTCGAGTGAACCATGCGGTGCCTTTCCCGTTGGGCCGTACCTCCTCTGGTACGACGGCGATGGGTCGAGTCTAGGTAGATGGTCGGCGGTGATTCTGAAAGGTCAAAGATAGGTGCGATTGAAACGAGATGAATTTGGTTTGCATATGTGGTTCTGGTCGTTGACACACGAGAAATAAGAGTTATGTATTCTATCGGAATATGGCATCGGCTCAGGACATAATATGTATGGTGCTACAAATTCGAGGTACGAGCATTAGTATTTCGAAAACCGTAATAGATACGAAGATCAATTTTATTTTATTTTTTCCTGTCGTTACTTTTATGAAAATCTAAAAACTAATTGCACATTCTCATAGCCACTTTATCACGGCTACCTGATAATATTTTTAGATTCCCAAATTAGCTGATAGTTTGTGAGATACATAGACCAACTTATTTTTTTTTAAATACGGACCTGCATCGGTCTCCTGAGTATAACGATATGCCACACAAAAAAAATCAAGTAATGCTTGGCGACAGGTCCAGGAGCCTCGCTGGCCATTATACTGCTCCACCATTTCCGATTCATCTTTTAATTATTTTTTTATTTCTTTTTTGATAATCTGTATTCAATGTTTTACCGCACGTCATTGTTAAATTTCGAAGCTCATCAATATTGTAACGACGAAAAAGGTTAATTATTTAAAAAAACGCAAAAAGATCAGGGCTTAGGCAATTAGCTTAAATAAATTGTGTTTAAAAGCCCGAAACAAAAAAAAAATATATTAAGTATGGCATATCATTGTACTCAGGAGAACGAATTATTTCGAAACCTGACATAAAAATGCAGTTTTCTTAATTAATAATAAATGAATTGAATAATTGCATGAAATGATGATAAGAAATAATATTGATGATATAAAAATTTGGTGATAGAAAAACTTATTTGAAATTTTTGAATAACTTATTTGAAGAACTTAAATTATCAATTAATTGTTCAATATTTCACTTTGTATACGATTTTGAGTTATAAAATATAAAAAAATACTAAATTTACCGAATATTTAATCCGGTCCTAGCCAAAGCAACAGCAATCACAATAAACATAGCAATCACAAATTATGTCACAATATTTATTTATTTATTTATTTATTCTACAACACTCTACAGCTTACGCCAATTACAGAGTGGGTTACACACAAAAAAAAATTCAATACAAAATAATTAAATTAAACAAAAAATAACATCAATGAGAAAAAATACATATCAATGAAAAAAACAACAACAATATAAACCAAGAAAAACCACTAAACTGAACTAACAACCGAAACCAAACTGCAGCTGAAAATATCAAAATTACACTGATATAAATTATATGCATCCTGCATACGTTTCAATTTACTTACATTTGTGCGCGAGGAGGCCACATAAAATGTAAAGCTATACCGAGAGCTACGTGGGACCAGAAAATTTATTTGACTGAGAACATCCGGACTATCAATTTCATTATGTAATAACTTGTATAAAAATTTCAGCTCTGAATTTGTCCGTCGAACCTCCAAGGAATCTAGAGAATGTTTCTGCAATAAAGAGCTGTGACAGCAGCCAATTTGCGGGTAAACCCCATCAGTTCTTAAACTCAGATATTTCAGAAAACGACGCTGTACCTGCTCGAGAGCATTAATATGTGCCGCATAAAACGGCGACCATACAATTGATGCATACTCTAGCTTTGATCTTACAAAAGCATAATAGAGTAGTTTTAATGTGTTACTATTGCTAAAATCTCTAGTATTACGCACAATAAATCCCAAGGCCTTAAACGAAGATTGAACGACTTCAGATATATGCTGAACGAAAGATAGTTTACTGTGTGACACCCAAATCTTTAAAAACAGATACTCTACCTATCATCGTATCACCGATAGAATAATTATAAATTTGTGTTTCCGATTTCAAGGTATAAGACATGACTTTACATTTTTCAACGTTCAATGGTAAGTTATTATATGAACACCATGCAACTAATCGATCAACACACCTCTGAAGCCGTTCACAGTCATGAGGCGAATCAATGCGGGAAAATATCTTCATGTCGTCTGCAGACAGTAAGACACTTAAATCAATTATATCAGTGACACCGTTTATAAAAATGTTAAACAATAACGGTCCCAAAATAGACCCCTGGGGTACACCCGAAGTAGCGCACAGTTCGACCGAATTCTGGCCACAATACTCCACCCTCAACAATCTGTCTTTTAAATAGGACTCAAACAACATTAATAAGTTAGCTGAAAACCCAATCCGATCCAGATGGTAAAGAAGGATCCCATGGTCAAGTCGGTCAAACGTTTTAGAAAAATCAGTATACACAACGTCGACATGACTCTTTGTATCAATAGAGTCAGCAATAAATTGTGTAATACTTAAAAGATTAGTTGTCGTCGACCGACCCCTTATAAAACCATGCTGATTTGATGAAATTCTACCTCCCACCTGGAACGCCAATGCGCTATAGAGAGCCATTTCTAAACATTTGGAAAAATTAGAAATTATTGTTACAGGTCTATAATTTTCAATATTATTTCTATCGTTCTTTTTAAATACTGGGATGATCTTTGAGGTTTTCCAATATGGCAATTCTATTATGATTTTCTTCTACAGATCTGGTCAAAAATATCCTAATTATATTATCTACGAAAAGTTACAAAAAATTCTCTGTAAGCCATAATAGAATCTTTAAAATTTTATTTATAAAAAATACACAATTCCACAAAAAAAATTTCAGAGGTTTTTTTTAACAACCACAGAAAAATGCAAGAAGATGATGGTATTCTTGCAGCAATTTTTGCAGAAGTTCAAGAAGCAACTACCTGAACTCATTTACTTGCCTGAGAAGTCCAAAGAACATTACGAAAAAGTGTTAATTTAACGATGAATGAAAAGAAAAACGGAGGATAATGTCTATAAATGAAGATGTTAATTTGACGTATTTTTTAAACATGAAGGAAAATAATGCAATTTTATCCATGTGGTCAAAGTGTTCGATGTGAAAAACATTTTTAATCTAAAAAATATAGATATTAAAAAATATGGTAAGCTCTGTGGAACAATATAGAGTAAGAAACGCTCTTTTAAAGAGTCCTCGCTTGTTGGATTCCGATCATCCAGTCCAGAGTTATTAATATTTAAATAAAAACAGATCTAACCTTCCCCACCACTTTATTTTGGTAGATAGGGAAAAATGGCTCTAACAAAAAATATTCAAAATTTACTGAAGATTATGAAGCTATTACTTATAGTACACCTTTTCTACGCAAAATGGCGTAAAAAAGGAAGAGAAAAACGTTTGCTCAGTAGGTAAAACACCATACCATAACCAAAGCGGGCACAAGGATAGGAGTATTTGGACAGAAAAGTAAATACTCCGAACCAATAGGCATCTATCCCGGCATCTTTCGGGAAGAAATCTACGTTTTCGGAAGATGCGTACAACTAAAAACATCCAGATAGAAACTTATCTTAAATAGAAACTGTCGGAAATAACAAACATCCATCTTATCCGATAGTCAAGCAGCATTAAAAGCGATCTACTCAGTAACCATCAATTCGAAGTTGGTCAAAGAATGTCTAGAGAAGCTGAACAAGTTAAGCAATGATAATAAAGTATTCCTACTTTAGATGCCAGCCCACCAAGGGATAGAAGGCAATGAGAAAGCTAACGATCTAGCTGAAAAAGAAGTGAACACTCCACTAACTGGACCAGAACTGTGCCACAAATTAACTGCAACAGATGCGAAAGACCACCGAATTACGCGTTCAGGTTTTGTGACCATCAGAAAGAGTTCATAGACAATCCGCAGCAATGTATAGTTTGGGTTATTATTTGTTTGGGTGAAAATAATCTGCACCAATATGTTATCGAGGCATACAAAAAGGTCGACAGACCACAGACTTCGAGACATACGAAAAATCAAGTCCATTTAGCGTATGTCGCAATTTTCACACCTTAAAAAATTACTTTTTTATAGCTATAGCAACTGCAGCGACTATGAAAAAAGCTGTGTGATTTTCATAGAAAATAAGGGCACCTGTAATTCATTTGAGAATGTTATAAATCGCTAAAAGAGGTTTCAAGTCTCTTGGATTTCTATTAATAATAAAATAACATTTTATTAAAAATTGAACTAAAATTGTTAGTATCATTAAAAACAATTCAAATTCAAAAATTGTATCAGTCAAATTCCCTCATTTAAGGTGAATATTAAAGTAAATATAAATACAGCTCATTATAAGCTCTACTTATCTTTAAGAAAAATTTAAATCATTGTTGCAATTGGGCCTTAATGCGAATGAACAATAGCATTAATAATGTACATTATAATAATAATAAATTTTATATCATAGTGTGTATTAAAACTACTAAAACACTTTTAAATTGGTATTCTATTAACAACTTTTGTTTTTTAATCCAAAAAAAAGTTACCAATTTTCTCAATCAAAATATTTGTGGTCCTGAAAAGAACCTTCGTTTTCCCATGTTCGTCAAGGTAGGTAATGGGTAAACGGTAAAAAAACAGGATAATGAAATTTAAAAAATTACAAAAATTGTTCAAAAGTGCCTCCCTCTTGCATTAAACAATAACCCAAACGATCATAAAATCCCCTCCTCACATTGGATAACGTATCAGGGGTGACGGTGTCAAAGGCATTAAATATTTTCTGCCTTAACTGTTCCAAGTTTTGAATTTCTTCATGGCCGTAAATTTTAGATATTATGTACCCCCATAAAAAGAAATCATTCACCGAGAAGTCAGGTGAAATTAAACGTCAGTCTAAACAAAACCGTCATTTTTGAAAACTTGTCAAAATTTGGACACACGCTAAATGGACTCTGTGGACTTTTCTGTATAATCTCACAGTAATTTAATAGATTGCTCGTCATATTATATCAGCTCGTAGGAGATTAGGAAAAAAAAAGATATTTATAGTATAAAAAATTAATTTATTTAACAAAATGTAATTAAAGATGTGACAAAATAGTTACATTTCTATTGGTTCTATCGGACTTTTTTCGACTATATAAATCTCTATTTTTTGTAAACTTTAATGC